ACCGACTACACATCACGTTTTTTATTATTATCACACTACATGTTTCGACCTCAAGAGGTCATCCTCAGGTGTACGAACAACTGTATAATTACACGCAATCACATTCGTTTTTACACTTATTCGATNATGAGTTGGGCCCACTCCCATCATTATTATCATTGTGTATAACAAAGACCTTATGACTGTCTGATGTATTTCCCCAATATATTAAGCCATCACGACAAGGATCGTAACAGATCCAGCAGCATCAGAGGACGCAGAAGAACAGCGAGACCTCCAAAAAAAGTGAAAGTGCAACCAATATAATAAAGTTGAACTTTAATTCATGAACTTTTAACCAGTGGTAGTAATTAAACTAGTTGAAGTGAACTCAACGCAGTGGTGAGGGTGAGCGTAAGTAGAAAGTGACTGAAAAACAAGTGAAAGTGAAAGTATAACCAGTGATCTGAGTCGAACTTCGATTCAAGAAATTTTAAAATTTTTTAAATTTTAACTTTTAACATTTAGAATAATATTTTAACTTGTGTTTCATAAGAAGAGCTTGATATATCATTGAGCGTAAGCCTGAATAAGATACAGGGTCGAATAAGTGGAAAAACGAATGTGATTGCGTGTAATTATACAGTTGTTCGTACACCTGAGGATGACCTCTTGAGGTCGAAACATGTATTGTGATAATAATAAAAACGTGTTGTGTAGTTGGTAAAATTGACTCTAATATTGATTCAATACACAACAGGATGCAAGAAACAATTAAACTTTTAGTTCAGTTTCAAGCTTTTCTTTGTCCATCATTGGATATGCTTCAGTGGTCAGTACTATTTCTTCTGTGGGATATTCATTCTTAAAACTAGTGAAGCATTTCTTGTTGAACAATTTAACAGCTACTAAGTGTTTAGTGGAAGAATATCTGTCCATTATATCAACACATATACAGTCACACACTTCCTTAGCTTCTGCCATGAGTGTCTTTGAAGGATTCTCACAGTACTTTGAGTATCTCAATTTTGAAATAGCAGTTTTGAAATTTGTTATATATTCATTAACTTTAAGCACACTAAATTCTCGAGATTGCATTTGGTTGTAAATTATTTCAACATGAGGCATAATCTGATGAAAAACTCTAACCAAAACTTGAAATTATCATCATTCAGGTATTTTAAAATTCCTGTTGCTTCTGCAATGGTTTGATCTGCATTTGATGTTGACTGAATTTCAGTAAGGCAATTTATTAAAGGTTGCAAATTTTCATGAATTCTGTTTATGGTCCGTATGTTGAAGTTCCACCTTGTAGAAGATGGACGTGGAATGCTGACTTCCATATGCTTCTTGAGAATGGACACACGTTGCGGTGATCTTGAGAAGAATGTTGGAATAGCCAGAATGTTAGAGAAAAATATTCTTGCGTTTCGTGTAATACTTGCTGCATTTCTCATTATTAAATTAAGTTGATATGCATAACAGTGAATGAAATGTGCATTACTATAAACTGCTTTTATTTTTGCTTGAACTCCTGCTTTTTTACCTTTCATGACATTTGCACCATCAAATGTCTGAGTTATCAGTTTTTGTCCATTTTCTTGAAGGATTATGTCCACTTGTTCTAAAATACATTTTGATATGCCACCTGCAGTTTGATTTTCTGGAATAAAGAATCCCCAAAAACGCTCAAATATTTCTACATTCAATACATACCGTAGAACAAGGACCATTTGAGTGTGTTCCGAAACATCTGTTGTGTCATCAGCCATGACAGCTACAAAGAAAGCCTTCATAATTTCCGTCCTTATCTCCTCATGGTATATTTGTAGCAGGCAGTCAAGTATCTCATTCTGAATGGTCTTAGAAACACCTTTGAAGACTGCACTGGTTTCTAAATGATGCTTCAAATCTGAATCTACGTAATTTAGATGCAAAATTTACTAATCCTCTAAATACTCACGGATGTATGGAATCGTTTTTTCATCATGTCCACGTAAGGGAGTTTCAAAGTTTCCACAAAAGAAAATGCAGTCTATTATTTTGGACAAAATTTAACGGTTCTTTATAACCTTTATATTATGCTCATTGATTGAAAGTCTGTATGCCTCACTAAGTTTCTCCTTAATACTTATGGTTCCTAAAAGTGACAGTGAAACTACATTATCAACGTGCTTCTTTGACTTCTCATGCTTTTCAGTTTTTTCTTTCATTTTGTTTATATTTCTAAAACCATCTTTTGTCCACGTTACATCACCCCCAAACAGCAAACACGGGAAGCAAAACAGTGCATTTTCTACTTCACAGCCGCAAAGTCAACTTTTCCGTTTGTACCATTCAGAATTAAAGTTACGAATATATTTCTTGTTCTTGCTTATGCCTGGCTGAGGTATTAGAATATCAGGTGTTAAAGACCTCCTTTCTTAACTGCAACTTTCTCATGGAGAGACAGTTGTGAAAACTTACGCTGTTGAAGTTCACTTACAGTCACAGAACTTATTTCTCGGGGATGCAAGGCCATGGTTAAAGTTTTCTGTTAAATAAAAGAACCGAAAAGAAATGAATCAAATAGAATAGCTGGAAGCAGGATAATCTAATGTAATTCTACAATTAACTCACATTCAAGAATATGGTACATGGTTTTTAAGAACAAACGCGGAGTAAAAAAAAAACTATGAAGAAAGCAGTTTTCTGGGATTTGGCACCATGTATATGTGGTGTTAACCGACGTTTCGGAGGAACGTATCGCCTCCATCTTCAGGGTAGAAGAAAAAATATAAGAAATCTGCAAGCGAAGACCTTCCACCAACACTGCAGTAACGACAGTGCTCTCTCTCCATTGCAGCCTCGCGTGAAGCTTCCTATGTGCGCATGCGCACAACAGACAACAGTCAACAAACACCTCGACGCTGGAACTGTGAAGCGCACAGTTCCATACGAAGATCTGGCTACTGACATTAAGCTTAAGGATTATATATTGTATTGTACAAGTATAAAGAAAGAATTAGAGAAAAAAAGACTTATTATATAAATGTTATCGATAATATCAAGTGGAAATTGGGGGTGCTGCAGTTCCACAGTGCCTATACGCGGTCCGCCCCTGGTGGCTTGGCACCTTTTGACCGCTTTTGAGTTCCCGAGCGTTCCCGAGTATTTAATGCCATGGTCGCCATCGTTCGCCGTGGTGATGGCCGGTATTGGTTAATATACAGGGGGGGGGGTCCAAAAAATTGTACTCACTCGTTGATAGTCATTATCTTTTGGAACAAAATGACACGTATACTTACAATGCTTACGCGCAACTGTAGTGTAATGTTTTCTCAATAGACGGCGAAGGTCACATGAGTCACGTGAGTGTCGTGCCGCGTGCGCGCTGCGAGCAGAAGACAGCAGCAACAAGGCTTTGAGCAACGCAAGGCTGTATTGAAGTGGTACTGGAAGTATGAAAACATTAAAGAGGTACAACGACAATGGCAAAATGAGTTTGGAACTCATCCACCAACACGTCGAACAATTTCCCGTATTCGGGATAGATTTGAAGCCGACGGTACTGTTGATGATGTGCATAAGGAAAGCCTGGGCGACCACGGATAGTAACAAGTCCAGCTTCCAGTGCTGTGGTGTAAGGTGTTGCAACACTGGTCAGGCGCGTCTCGAAATGCTTCATACATTGATTTGCCCTGCCATTCGAGAGCTGTTTAGAGGTGAGAGCTTTTACCTACAACAATATGGTGCTCCACCTCACTTCCATCGAGATGTGAGGGCGTACTTGGATGACCCTCTACCTGGACGATGGATAGGTCGAAGAGGTGCTATTGAGTACCCATCACGTTCTCCAGACCTAACACCTCTCGACTTCTACCTATGAGGAACCTTGAAGAATGAAGTTTATCGATAAAAGCCAGCTACACTGAACTCGCTGCGAGAAACCATCGAAGCGTCGTGTGCAGCCATCACACCGGACACACTGGCAGCGCTGGCAGCCGTAGTTCGCTAAGCAGTTCGGCGGCATCTACGCTGTTTAGCCGCTGATGGTGGTCACTTCGAACACATAAAATGACTCTCTCTCTCTCCCTCCACGCAAGAATTGTAACGATTGTAACTACATGTCTTTTTGTTCCAAAGACATTAACTATCAAAGAGAGTACTTTTTTAGACCCGTCTGTATGTAGTGATCCGTGATATTTGCCAGTCAGAGCGTATTGCGAGCATTGCGAGCATAATGATGAAAGGAATTGAATTGAATTGAATGTATTTACATTCCGTAAATCCAGTACAGGTGAGACACCATAGGATATGGAACAAGTCAAGTTAGAATACATAGTAGCTATATAATAATACAGTAATATTGCAATTAAATGAGGTAAACTTATAATACTTATAATACACATTAAACAATGATCAAGAAATTTATCAAGATTTATAATGGACTAAAATAAAATAAAATTTCCATTAAGACATTCATTCATTACTCATTCCATTAATCAAGTGCATCAAATTAAAATGCATATAAAAGAGACAATCAATAAAAAAGAGACAAATAAAACAGGATAATTACATAATTTGTAGTTTATGACATATTTCTATATCAGTTCATTTGTTGTCACAATCTGTGTGTTCTCTTACATTACACATTATACCCATTTCTGTTGGTAGTATTCTTTCATGGAATAAAAGGAGTGATGAAGTAAAAATCTCTTTAGTGCTCTCTTAAAATTTGGTACATCCAAAGTCAACTCTTTTAAAGTTTGAGGTAAATGGTTGAAGGCTTTAATACCCGCCACATATGCACTCTGACTATACTTTGTCAGGTTCACAGAAGGCAAATATAGATTATTATGGATCTGTGGAACGAGCACTTTCTTGACATCTTGACATTCTTATGGACTTGGTGTTCAATTTAAGACTTAATAAAAATAAAAAAAAAAGCTACATCTGTAACAGGCCGTGTAGACCCATATGCTCTCACATTTTTCTATACATACGTAGAGCTCTTTTTTTTTAATCTAGTTAAGTTCGCGCCATTTGTATTCTCTCTGCGTTTTGTTACTTTTGGGCTGTTGCATGCCGTGAGGTTTTGCGATTAATGTAGTATGATTGCGTAGTGTTACCGGTGCTGTAGGTGTGACACCGAAATTGCAGTAGAAAATGAGTGTATTACAGCAGCCTATAGAAATATTTGTTACGTATGTTGAGATAGACGGCCCGTTTTTGAGACTATGGGCTCAGTTGGATCGAACACAAGCAACAGCAGTGGAACGTTTAATTTTGCAGTTGTCGGAGCAGTTTGAAAGAGGGTTAGGAATACCTTCTACCGTTCAAGTAGGTCAGCTTTGTTGTGCTAGATATAGCGATGGTGTGTATTACCGTGCTCGTGTCACAAGACCGCCAGATATGCCAGGTGGACATGTTGCTGTACATTTCATAGATTACGGCAACTCAGAAGTTGTACCCTTTCGTGATATCAGATCCTTGGAAGAGAGTTTGCTAACCCGATTGGCTTCGGTGAGTGATAATGCAACCGAATTTCTTTTGGCTGGTGTAGTGCCTGTCTCCGGTACATGGGATGAGAATAGTTTGGCGTTTATTCGCCAGACATTGTGCTATGAGGAGTTAAAAGCTGTGGTAGTAGCCCAAGTTGCCAATAAACGATTGATTAGAGTTTTTTATAAAAATGAAGACTTCGCCAAAATTCTGATAGCAAGTAAAGTTGGCGTATCAATAGAAATTATTGCACAGCAAATGTTGATCCAAGGTTATTATAATTGGAACTCTGTACCACCACAATTCCCAGGCTTCACTGCACCACCACCTGCAAGGATGTTGAGTCAATTACAGGGCCAAGCAGTAACAGTGCCTCGTGTTCCAGCAATAAGAATGGAAAGCAACTCTCAACAGGTGCCAGGGATTACACCTTCAGTTCAAGAAAAAGTACGCATTTTCACAAGTCCAATTTTGGAACTGAATTCAGAACATATGGTTTATGTGTCTTATGTTGAAGATGGTCCATCGTCCTTTGCAATCCAACTGCAAGCTGCAGAAGGAATGCTTTCAACTGTTATGCATGAAATTAATAATGCTCCTGCAGTTCCCTTGACTCAGCCACTGATGCCAGGATCTGTCTGTATTGGAAGATTTACAGAAGATCTGACACTATGTCGTGCAGTTGTCATGGCTGTTTTGGATGACAAATGCAGGCTATATTATGTGGATTTTGGCAACTCAGAAATTCTTCCATATTCTGAGGTCTTTGAATTACCTCAGCAGTTCATCAATCCAAAAGTGATGGCATTACGTTTTTGCCTAGCTGGTCTCAGAAATCTGACCATTACAGATGAACTGAAGTCATATTTCAAAGAACTAGTTACAGAGAAACTGTTGCGTTTACGAGTGGTAGCTCCAGAGGGCCCTCCCATCAAGCAATATGGAGAGTTGTACCTTAATGGTGCAAATGTGCTAGACTTACTTGTTAAAAAGATGAAAGAGAAACAAGTTCCCTGTAGCTTTCCAGTGATGCCAACACCATCAGTTGGAACAAGAGAGTCTGTTAAAGTGTCTTATGTGGTAAGTGCATCATCTTTTTATGTTCAGCTGGAAACTAATGCAGAAGCGCTCAAGTCAGTGATGTTAGCAATTGAAGCTATTTGCTCTGGTGCAGCACCATTTCTGGAAGTAGATGACCTTCGGATTGGGTTACCCTGCTGTGCTCAGTATAGTGAAGATGAAAAATGGTATAGAGCAAAAATACTTTCATTTTCATCCAATTTGGTTGAAGTAATGTATGTTGACTATGGAAACTCAGATTCAGTCCCACTGTCATCTCTCAAGCATATTGATCAAAGTCTTGTCAAGATACTGAACCCACAGGCCATTCAATGTTGTTTGCGTGGATTTCAAGACAATGTGAATGAGAAACTGGCAGATGAGTTTGAAAATATGATTTTAGACAAGACTTTGACCATGGTGGTGATGGACACGCTGCCAAATAATGTGATTCTTGTGGAGCTGTATAGTGGCTCTTTGGGATCCTGTGTCAGTGTTGCTGCCCAGTTGTTATCTAACAGTACAGCTCAAGAAACTACCAGAACACAGAACCAGTTGTCCATGCATAGTTCTCCAGCTGAAAACAATGGTGAGTGCTTGCAGGTTGGGTTTACAGCAGTGTTTCTCAAGTATGATACTTGGTGGTTAGCTGAGTGGGATCTGAGGTCTTGAAAATAGAATTTCCATTAATATTTAATCCAGCTTCATGGGAACAATTACATCTGAGCCCCTAACATGCTGGGAGGAGTTTCCACTAAGGATTTCAATTCAGACATGCAAAATAACAGTGGCTTCTAAATTAGTGTTAATTTTGTTATTTCCTTGTGATGAGAATCAAAATTACTGTCTTAAGAATAAGAAAAAACATTCATTTGAAATATCATCAGTATTTTCATTTGATAAATATTTATTAGCTAACAAAATGCTAACAGTTGATTTACAATCAACATTTCCACGATCAATTACTGGAAGAAAAATTGATAAATGTGCTTGATACACATGAAATGATAACCTATACATCTGTGTCGAAGCATTTGTAAGGACCCAGCTCTGTGGAACTAGGTAGCATTGAGTTCTTTATTGTAAAGAAAACTATTTCCTTATAATTTACAGCATAAAATTTAATGTCATTAATTTGTAAAGAGGTTCTTGAAATTCCAATGTGTAGATAGGGTTTGTGTATTTATCTGTCAGTTGCCCACATAAAATTTATAAACCTAACAACAGAGTATTGCTCAGTTACCATATATTATGTCAACGACATTTATGAACTCTGTCATGGTGCAGCATGGCTGCTTTGTTATGTAACATTTTTAATGGCTATAGCTTGGAAAATTTGGTTGCCTCGCCATCTGAGGTCATGTAGTTTTGTGAAATGGTGAGTAGAAATTTACAGTATTCAGTTATATGAAGAGACTTTGTTCCTTTATAACTAAAATTGTCATAGAACAAAACAAACAAACAAACAAACTCCGTGGCCTGTAGTATGCAAGCATACTATACCGACCAAGTGACTGCCACTTGTCGGCGAAGTTAATTCTGTTGTCTAATGGTGAGAGTTGCTGGCTACAGATCCAGAGGTTCCGAGTTCAATTCCCGGCACTACCAGATTTTCTGAGAAGTAGTGGGTCTGGAAATGGGTCCAATCAGCCTCGTGAGGATAGTTGAGGAGCTATTTCAAGGAAATAGTGGCTCCAGTCTATAAAACCGAGGTTAATGGCGGTGGGGATCTGTTGCGCTGACCACATGCACCCTCTATCCGCAAAAGGTGTCACTAATGTCATAGAACTGTCTACCCAATTGCTGTATTGTTTATTATGTAAAACAGAATGGTCAGAAAAAGGAAAATAATTATTTTAATGTGTGTCTGTTGATAAATGTGTTGCTCATAATACTATAAAAAATTCAGTGTGAGCTTTTGCTTTGTTTGCTATTGAGTGTTTCTGTGTGGTGAACCAGATTCATTCACATCGCAATGATGAAGCATAAAAATGCCTTTATTTTCTTCACCGTTGAGAGGTAAAATCGCCCTTTTTGAAAAACCATGGCACAGTAATTGTCAGAATGGAACATATTTTTATAATGTGTTCTTTAAAAAGGGCTGTCAGTTCCAAAATCTCAAGAACAATACGTCAAATCATAATATGGCAGTTAAAGACTTGAAGGTCCATGTACAGTCATGATTTTGTTAAGAAATATTTGGGTAGTAAATTCATTTTTTTAGCAAGTAGCACTTCACATAATTTTTTAATCCCTGCTTTTGTATAATGCAGAGTGGCAAGAGGCTTCTACAGAAGCCAGTTCAGAGATACACCAAGGATCCCAGAGTGAGAAGAAACAGCAGGTGTGGTGTGGAGGCAGGGAGAGGTCAAATCAGCAAGAGTCAAGGTATTTCAGCTTGCAGAAATCTTAATTCTTAAAGTTCGAACTTTGGCGGAAATTCTTTTTCATGAAAGGGCTGAAAACATGTGTTTATGACACTGTTTAAGTTACTACAGATGGAAAATGCTAGGTTTCCCTTGAGCATAAATAGATCAAGGTGGTGCATAAACCTCCACTGAGGAGAAAGACCAAGTGATAGAAGATACACAAAAGAGAATGGAGAGGAAAATACAAGAGAAGTAATTATGGGAGAATGGAGAAGAACCAAGAAGGCACATCATGAAATGACCCATCAACCCATCGTAGTTGAAACATCAGTAGACAGCGATGATTTAAGTTGTTACTGCATTGTATTAACTGACAGGTAAATTTTATTTCAGAATTGATTGAGGTAAGAGGTGGTATTTTCTTAGCACACTGTTTCTCAAATCCCCCCCCCCCCAATAATATTTTCAGCCTCGGAAATTACTGAGAGAAATTAGAACAGTGGGTTGGTTTTCAAGTAGAGTATCAAACAGGTGGCCAGGAAATTAAATCTTGCTTCACACAAACTTTGTATAGGAAAAGGAGTAAGAAAGGGATCAAGAAAAGTTTAGTGAATTGTTATTTCAGTGTATAATGATAAATGGTATCACTTATACTCGAGTAATCCCGCACTGGAATGTGATTTTGACCTTAATAAATCTTCAGAAGGTTTAAGCATCCATAAAACGTTGTCTTCAAAAGTACAAATGTGATCCAAAATACAGAACTCAAATACTTTAAATGTTTTTTTAATGTAAATTGTCAGAAAGATGTTGATCTAGAGATAAATATAGATTGTTGCCAGTTCAAGCCTTCTGCAGGTCAGATTTTTCCACATTTCTCTTCTCTCACTTCAGCAAAAAAACTATGTGATGAATACTGTTCTCATACATAGTTTGGATCATGCATTAAAATGGAGGTCCCTTGTGCTAGCCATCTTTATTACTATCTTGTCATCAGGAGTAAAACTGAAATTCAGCGTACTTGTTGCTCCCATCAAAAATATAGTTTTATCTCCCCCCCCCCGGCAAGGCAAGCAGGAACCAGGATGGCCAAAGTTCATACCTAGAGGTGTAAGCCACAAGAGCATGAAGTGTAAAAGAAAACTTCTCAAGTTGTTTCTATTAAAAGAAATCCGCATTTAGAATTCATTCTATATGCTGTCTTGGATTAGAACTGCCTCACGAAGCGGTATGTGGGACAGAGTTAATTTTGGGGTATATAATTTTAATACTGTCATGTGTATGAGTGACTATAGACAGGATTTGGATTGTGTAATTGGACCTACTGACCTCTTACAGAATGTAACTAAAAGTAACTCTAGTGCTATCGCTAATTGACATTCTTTACAGTTCACTGCAGTATGTTCTAAGTCTTCTCAGTCTGCTATGTCTTCACCAGTCATTGCCTGATATCGACTTCCAATGGCAGACATTCCGCATACTCTGGGTTCCCACACTATCCCCTGGCCTCAGCTACCAGCTTCTAGCAGCAGCAGCAGCTCACAACAACCAAAGTTTAGCAGTCCTCTAACTGAGCGTTCACCATTTCACTTTATTCCACCATACTTAACTGAATTGAACTGGACTGACTCACTTTCACTAATTCTCCTGTTTATGACATCTCGGCATGGACTGCATAGAAAACACCATTCCCCTGTTGTATCCATTGTTGCATTCACAGCCATCAATGCAGACCGCACAGAAAACGCCGATTTCCAACCGTCCATTGGTGCATGTTAGGACTCTTTTGCCTAACAATGGATGTTTAGAGAGTCATTATTTAGCAGTAGGTCTCCGTGCTACAATACATTCACTGCTCGGCTTTTAAATTCAGGCCTCAAATTAAATGTCAGGGTTTTAAGCACAGGCTTAGTGTTTTGCACTATCTAAAGAAAGAAATCACTTAGAAAATACCACGAAAGAAGAAAATTAAAATTTTACATTGTTTGTAGCTCACTTTGAGGGTGTGATCCCATGTAGCCACTGTCTGGATGTAGTGGGACTCTGTACAGAGGATGAAAAACTCTTATGATATTTTGAGACACCCTGCAAAATCTTGCTGGGTATTTGCCTCCTTTTATGGTAAGAATTTGAATGAATTTGTGATTTCTCATTGGTTGGCTTTCCAGGTCCTATAAGCATGGGAATGAGTGTTCTTAGGCTTTGAAATGGTGTCATGATGAGCCTGGATTATAATGTGTGGACTAAATAAGCACAGGCCAGCTGTGTTGTAAAGAAAGACGAATGACACACTTTGACTTCATGTCTGTCTGCCTGCCCTTCTGCTTGGGGAATCTGCAGTGTCTGTTGTGTTCAGAGTTTATACTGTTAAACCTTTCTGGAAAGCTGAGAACCAGTATTTCTCACAACAGATAATATCTGACCTCTCCCAGTTTTAGAATTATATACTCTTCATTTGAAAGGTACAGTAATTTAAAGGAATAATTCTACACTTTCTGATATTTGTGTTCAGGCAGGCTTGTGTAGGTTGGGCACTGTTAATAGCAACTGTCCTGGTAAAAATGGTAGGATAATGATTCTGCCCACTGCTCACTACTATGTTGATGTCTTGTACTTGATTTCAGAACACTGCTGCAATTTGCTGTTGACCATCTCCCCCCCCCCTTTTACAATTACCTGGAGTATGAAACTTTTCATGCACTCGGTCAGGTTGCGATTGTCTGGAAATGTGAATCACACTTTAGGATTGACAATAAAGCCTGAGATCAAGAGATGGTGGTCACATTTAGGAAAGCTTGTTAAACCCAGGTTGTTTTATGATTCCAAAATGTCTTCTTCATTCTCTTGTGATGATTGTTGCGATGAACTTGATTCAGATATAAAGTCGGTACCAGAATTGCTATCATTTGCAAATTCTGAAATTTTTTGTCCTAGTATTCCTAAAATCTTTTCCTTGGAACCCACAAACATGTAGAAGGTTGATACTGTGCATCAGTGTTCAGCAACTGACGTTTGGTAAACCTGTTGCTCTAAATGATTGTTCCATGAACCTCTCTTTTTATGTCATGCAATCTCATGTTAATTTATTCCTATTTTCAGGAAATGTATGCTAAATCAGCTTGGCCTATGCTAGCAGTATTAGGGCCTTTTGGTAACTGATATGAGTTGATTTGGGCAATGAATATATTAAGAGGAAAGCACTTCCAGGTGAAATTTGCTACTCTAGAAATTTAGCCATAGAAGTACCATGATTTTGTACAACAGTTTGGGAACTACTGTTGTTACACATTATTTTCATGTATCTTATGTGTTCTCCTTCATAGGTCTTTGCCCCAGTGCAGAGAGGCACTTCCCTCTCTAAAGGGATTGAGTTGGCGTTACTCACAGAGAAAGCCATGGTAACAGTAAAATACAAATGGCCTGTTGTTCAGAATGTGCTACAGCTTTATGTTGTTTTTGCAGCATATTTATAGCTCGTGCATTATGGTGTGTGTTTGTTGTCTTGCTTTTTGTTTACGTTCTTTAAGTTATATATGCACACTTCCTTTCATCATGGACATGAACTGTAGTATGTGGCCATTGAGTTGTCTTTCTTTACATTTACATTCATGTATAAATAGATTATGGGAAATTGACTGGGTGAACTCTACTGTCACTTTTCTTACCTCTCAGAATTACATTTACCATACTGCTCAATTCTGATTTGTTCTGTGGTATGTGTCTGTTTAACAGCTGATTATGGCATGGTATTGGAACTGAACACGTGTTTCAAATAGTTTGATAGGGTTCATTTTGCCAGTATGCTTTATGTGTTACAATAAGATGTGAAGCCACCATCTGAGTGTACCTGATTTATTTTTATGATAATTAAATATTATTAAAAATAATAATAACAAGATTTAAAACTTTGAAATTATTACATTTTTATAAAAAGTTAAAACTAACACTATATTAAAGTTCATTGATGTGAACCACTGTAAAATGCAACTATCTTGATAACTGGTGCTTATCTTAACAGACCAACACTTCATCTGTCAAGAATCAGACACCATGCCACACATCACCATACTGGCACATTAAAAAATGAGCAGGAGGCAGCAATACACAGTATAGTACATTCGTTCATCTGTAATCTGTCAAGATGACAGGTCCACAGTCTCTTCCAAAACAATTCCTCCACTTAATGCGATCTAGAGCTTTCTCCTTCAAATGAAAATCTCTTCTGTCCCCAAGGTCATCCAGCATCTTCTTACGTCTTCTTCCTCGTCTTCTGGTCACTTCTATCCACCCCTCTATCTTTCCTTCAATAACTTTTTTTAGAAGGCTGTTACCGCGTAATATATGACCGATCCAATTAGCCTTCCATTTTCTTATTTCATGTAGGATATTCCTCTGCTCACTGACTCTAATTAACACGTCTTCATTTCTCACATAATCGGTCCAACTGATCTTCTCCAACACCACATTTCGAAGCTTTCCAGGTGTTCCTGATCTACTGCCCTAAGTGTCCAAGTTTCAGCTCCATACAAAGCAATGCTCCAAATATAGCCTTTCACTAGTTTCTTTCTCAAATTTAAGTCCAATTTGCTGGTAAAAAGAGTCTTCTTCTTGCTAAATGCAGCTTTTGCCATGGCAATCCTAGATTTAATTTCACAAGTACACCTTCCATCATCTGTTAACAAGCTACCCAAATATTTAAAACATTTCACATTCTCCAGCTGTTTTTGGTCTATCTTTATTGTGACTGGGGTTGGTTGTCGAAATTTTCATTACTTTTGTTTTTTCCACATTCATTTCCATGCCATAGCACCTTCCAATTTCGATCAGTCTATCACTCATACCCTGTAGCACAGTTTCTTCCTTAGCCATTAACACAGCGTCATCTGCATATTTCACAGTTTGAATAATTTGCCCTCCTAATTTGAAGTCTCCAAGCCCATCCAGAGCTTCCTTGGTAAGGCATTTGCTGTAAAAGTTGAACAAAATTGGTGATAAACAGCATCCTTGTCAAACTCCTTTTCCAATCTTCACACTTCTTGCCTCCCTTCTGTCCAGTCACACTCTAACTTTCTGATCCATATATAATTTACTAATCAATCTTCTTTCCCACCAATCGATTCCTGTTTCCTTTAGGATCTGCATTAATTTGGTCCAATTTACACAGTCAAATGCCTTCTGCCAGTCTATAAAGCAAGCACACAGTTCTTCAGCTATTTCCAAAGTTCATTCTGCTGTAATTCTCATCATCCCAATTGCGTCCCTGGTTCCTTTTCCTCTTCTAAATCCAAACTGATCCTCTCCAGGTATATCCTCTATTTTCCTTTCAATTCTTCTTTTAAGTATCTTCGCTATTATCTTTGCTGTATGTGCAATAAGGGTTATTGTGTGATGGTCGCTGCATTTTGTAGCTTAGTATAGTACAACAAACAAGAGAAAAAACTGTGGTTTTAGTCCGCAAGTGAACTATACCAACTGAGTGACCGCCGCTAGTCGGTGAAGTTAGGCAGTCTAGTGGTCACAGATCTGGGTTCGATTCCTGGCACTACCAGATTTTCTGAGAAGTAGTCATTCTGGAACAGAGTCTACTGAGCCTTGTGAGGATAATTGAGGAGCTGTTTCAAGGAAATAACGGCTCCAGTCTAGAAAATCGAAATTAACAGCTGTGGGGATTTGTTGTGCTGACCACATGACACCCTCTTTCTGCTAAAGTTGGCACAGTATAATACAAGACACCAATTCATTGTTCTAATTTTGGAAATATGTTTCATATGTGTTTCTGTGAGATAAACATAAATTTTAAAATTGTACTATGTTTCATTAAAATCTTTGAGTACTGGGTAAGGCTAGTTGAGCTTATTTAGATGAAGTCTCTTGCTTCAGAGTCTCAGAATGTTACTGAGAAACCAAGTTCAAATTGATAAGGCCTGATTATTACATGTTCTCAAATGTATGTTCTTTGTTGTTAGCGGCATGTTTGTTAGATATGAATCTTCTTCATTAGAAACAGATGATTGGACTGGACAATGCTGCTGCAAAATGCTATGTTATGTGGTGAGACCATCCCCGTATTTCACAGTGATGTGTTTATAAAGGCATATGATTGTTGAAGAGTTTTGATACCTAAATACATAGGTTGTGAGAGATGTTTCTTATGCATGTAACCCTAAAAGTGCCAACTCTCAGAAATTTTGACCTTTACAGAGAAAGGTTGCTGTATCTTACGAGTTATGTGAGTGGCATCATTATTCATTTTATCTGAACTGCCAGTACATAGCGATTTTTTCCCCCTAAATTTGATGATCTGAAGGAGGAGTTTTTATATATAATTTTTGCATAAAAGAACAGCTCTGACAATATAATATGTCAGTTTGTCACTATAGGAGTTAAAGCTGGGGGTTAACACGCATCTAACATTCTGGACTAGTTTTAGAGTTACTGCTTCAGAACTTATCTGTGAGCTGTTCATGTATCTGACTCTCCTCTGATTCACATGCGGACACAACTGTTATTCATACTAAAGGATCTGATAATAATAATACTGATATAATACTGATAATACTGATTATGATTGATGTTTATTCTGTTGGCAACAGCTCAGGTGAGAATGAGAGTGAGTGGAAGTCGTGGGATAAAGGTGGCAGTGGAGGTAGTAAGCCGTGGCAGAATAAAGACCGTGCCAACTGGAGACAAGAGAATGGAGTCAGGAGTGCCAGAGGAAAGTGGGCAGGTCAAGGTGATGAAGAGAGGAGCAAAGGTGAAAAGTGGAATAATTCATGAAGAGATGATGCACAACAAGGGAAATCCTGGCAGCATGACTTTGCTGGCAGTGATTCGTGTAGTTCTGCTTGATAATCTTTTATTTACATTTTTTCCTGTCTGTACTTGAGCAGTAATTACGAAAGTATAGTTTTTTTGGTGCGTTTTAATGAAGAGTTGCAAAAAATGCATGTATTAGCTTGATGATATTTGTTCATTTGCACACACGGAGAGTATTTTTCTAAAATTTGTCAACATTCCAATTTTGGTTACAGTCAGACATACAGTAAAGAACTCATTACATGGAGACTGAGTGTAATTCTCTAAATATTTGTCAGAGTGAAAAATGGAACACATTTTACACCTAGTACATTTTATGTACAAGTCTAACAGTTTTGGAAGCAGTTAAGGAGAAAGAATTTTTGTGCTGTTTAGAGGTAATAGAAGAGTGAATGCTCAAGAATTGGTACATAATGCATTCATTTTCTGACTTGTTTGTGTTTGTTTTTAGAGCATATCAGGATATTCCCATGCAGCAGTACTAGCTTGACTGTTATTCATACTGTACTAACGGTTAAGAGCAAGTCGGTATTTGTTGTGTGTATTCCATGATCATTCGATCACAACTGATCCCTGCTGTGCCCTGTGTGTCTTGAGTACACCTAACAATGCACTATGACAAATATGTTACCCCATTTGACAGTGGCTTATATCTCGAAAAAACTAAGCATCTCAGGACACATGCTGTGTAACATTTTTCATGTGTTTTATTTTAACATGGAGTCATTCTATGGAGAGAATTCATTTCTTATTGCAAGTATCTTTTATGCATTTATCAGGAGCATTGGGCTCTTGCCTAAGAATCATTCACATGCAGGTGATGATAGTTCCAAAAATTGTTATATTCATATGTGAAATAGTTGTGTCACAGGAATGGGTTTCTGTCCTTGTTTTTTTCAGCCATTACTTCACTTTCTTTCTCCCAGCACACATATTCCTTTGTATCATCCACTGTGCTGTTATATAAGAGTAATATGAGATTCTGTTGAATAAATGTGAAGTGCTCATGGCAGATGTCTTCATCTCTTCCTTAGTTTCATATATTTTCTTTCTGCATAATAATCATTCTGATGTCTTCTGTCATATGCTGTCTTCCTTTCAGTTTAATTTTTATTGGATAATGTATGTTACTGAGGGTGATGGATGTCATTATTATTTTGAAGGAAATAATCGTGGAGATTTCAAGAAGTCTTGGAATCGTGATGAAGATGATAATAATCGGAATCGAGGTGGTAGTTGGAAGATGGATGAAGGTGGAGGGCAGAATAGGAAGTGGAATAATGGCAAAGATGGTGGTGTTAGAAGAAACAGATGGCAGGATAATAATGATGATACTCAAAGGAGAAGTGGCCCTGGTGACAGTTCCAGCAAGTGGAGGGGCAAGAGGGCAGATGAGAACAACTCAGAGTCAAGAGGAGGACATAAGCCGTGGAGTACTGGTAACTGTAGTTTCTTTCATACACTAGTGACAGGCATCTTTACCGGTTCCCTTTATAATACATCCATAAGATTGGAAGGGTCTTGGTAGAATGATCCACCAACATTTTCTTGTGTGCATGAAATCATTATGCTTGGCTTTCCTTTTCCTTCTAAAAGAATTGTGTTTCCAGCCGTAAAGAAGAATAAAGGAACCCTTTCAAAGAGGATATTCATTCAGCTGACTGTTATCCAGTAACTGTATAATTATCAGAATTATGATGTGTACTCTCTCCACATGGGGGGCATGCCATAGCATAATTGGTTGAGGCACTATGCTACAAGCCGGAAGGTCGCGGGATGAAATCCCGATGAGGTGGATTTTTTCAATTTACCTCATCCTTCGAGCTGCCCTATGGTCTTGGGGTCAACCCAGCCTCTAACAGAAATGAGTACCAGGAATATTTCTGGGGGTAAAGGGTGGCCGGCACATAAGGCTGACAACCTCACCACCATCTGTGAGCTGATTGTCTAGAAAATGTGGGAGCCTCATCCTCTCACAAACCTATGGGCCTACACGGCCTGTTACAGGGATACCTTTACTCTGTCCACACAGAGGAAGATAGACATATGTATAATTTCTTTTTCTCTCGGTGTTCTGCACATCAAGTCTGATACTGCAGTAATTGCCAGAGTGTATTTTAAAAATTAGATAGTACAAGGGAGACTTACATGTTTGTGAGGGTTGCGCCATAGCTCAAGCGGTTAGTCACTGGCTTTCCACCACAGCGGCCCGGGTTCGCACATAAGGCTGACAACCTCCCCACTAGCAATAGTTCCGCCCCACTAGCAATAAAAAAAAATACATGTTTGTGATAAGCAGAAAGTCTTCAAAGTCAGAACTAGCAGAACATGCCTCACTGGCTTTCAGATGATTATGTATGGTTACATACAAGTTAGTGTCTCTGAGGAACTTATTTATAAGTTATTTCATGAGGAATTTATTTAAAAATATCACCGTAGCAGCTCTATATCTGGCAGAACTGTTGACATTAAGTTCTTGTGTGTTTATGCTGTTTGTAGGTGGGCATTGTTGCTGACATTTGAACAGTGTATGCTACTTCCATTTGTAGGGTTGAAATGTGTAGGATGGGTGAGCTTCTTTGTATATACAGGTGTATGTTTTGAAGGAACAGTTGGAGCAAGTGGGGGCTGGTGACCCGTTCTGGCCCATAGGGACCGTGGGCAATGGAAGTTTAAAGAAACTGCCCTTTCAAGGGCTATGGAGTGAACTGAATAATTGATTGCATGTGGTGTTCCCAAGCAGTCACCCATCCAAGCTCTCACCAGACATAACATTGTTTAATTTTCTGTGCTCTAGGTCAAGGGTCCTGGAAAGTGGTAGGGTATCACTGTTGCTTGAAGGTTGGTTTTGGCAGGGACAAGAAGGATAAAGCTTTAAATGTGTATTTTAGGCGAGAGATGGGCCCAGAGAGGGGCAGTGGGTAGGTTGGGTGGAAGCAAATCCCTCTTATACAGTTGTAGCTGTTCCTTGCACTGGTGTGGGGTTTGTGGCATCCTCTCTGCAGCTTGGTCATGTGAATGATTTTTTAGGTAACCACCTTCCCTGTTAACCGCTCAGGCTGGGTTTTAAATTTTCCAGTGTACTGTCCTCATAAGCAGCATTTAAATTCTGTGTAATGCCCTTTTCATGTCCTTGTTCAGATTATTTTCCTTATTAGATTTTCTGAAACATGTATAGAACTAAGGGAAGCAGCCAAGTTTGTTGATTGACAAGCATAAAACCTGCCAGCTGAAAGAAAAATATTTCCTGCAATAGATGGCAGGAAACATCAAGGTCTGTAGAACATGTTGTCTTTAAGGCTAGAGGAAAACAGATTTGTGCAAGGCATCTGTTACTTCATGAATAAAATTCCTAAATTTAATGAAAACAAAGATGTAAATGTACAAAATATTAATATTATACTCTTAGGGTTAAGTTAAGTTATATATTCAATAACTGCAAGGCGACCTCTGTGATAGAATAAGTTGTTTATAAGACTGCTACATAGGGCCAGATAGGCATTGCCTAGGCCTTCTTTATATATACATTTATTTTTTCAAAATAAAATTTTTCCATTCATATAGTTTCAGCATCACTCAACAGCAACTATGAAGGTACACTGAATATGCTTCAGACAGTGTACCACTGCATGTACAACGTGTGCTATAGCAGCACCGATGTGAGCAATGTACACGTATATGTGTATGGGGAACTGGCTTGAAGTTTTAAAGGTCTTGAATTTTATCCCCATTTTAAGTGTTTATCATGAAACTATTAAAATTAGTTATTGTAATTCAGTATCCTCAATGTGTAGTATTATCTGAACTGAAAAGTTAAACATTTTTTCATAATTACATAGCATCTTGAATTGGCAAGGAATGGCTTATATAGAGGCATCCCTTACAATCAGAAGTCTCATCCACTGATTTCCATGCACCCTCAGTGCAACAAGTGAAGGTCAAACCAACTCATATGTATGCTGTATTATGGGTTGGTTTTAAGTGCAGCAGAGTTGCTTGAGTCTTCATGCATATTAATATCTTCTCTTGCTTTGAAATGATTAGTCCTTTTTTCAGAATCCTGATATTTTTTTATCTTTGTGTGCCTTGAAATTATGAACTTTTGCCTTAACCATTGATTCAGCAGTCAGTATGGTTGCTGATCTTTCCAGGCAAAACCGCTCGAAGAACACTGTATCCAGACTTCAGTTTCTATGTTGTGCATTTTTTGTATGCTGCTGGTTTTCTGTTGCATAGAACAGATGATTCTATTTGATTTGTTTCATTCTGCTCCGTCACACTAACAGTATTATAAAAGATAAACTAATTCTGTCCAGTGTGACTGGTGAAGTTTTTCTTATTTCAATTCTTCATGCCCTTACATGTCATGGTCCTTAGAGACCATCATCAGAGGCACATCGATACAGTTTGGAAACCACTATTACAATAGGTGTTCTGAATGTTAAAATATATATACATACAGTGTTGACAATACACAAATGGATACAAAATCCAAAGTTTTCACAACTACAGTGGCTGTCTTGATATATCAAATTTGTTTGTAACTTTTGTTATTTAAGTTAGAATTTATAAACCAAATAGGTTCGTGTCCTCTCTCTTAGCACCTCTCCTGACAGGGGCTGAACTTGTGCCGCCTGTCTTTCTTGAGAAGAAGGTTCTATGATGTTGTCCTGTGGTTGTTTGTGGCACGCTGTGTTGTGTTTATAATTTCTAACTTAAATAACAAAGGTTTAAAAAAAAATAATATATCAGGACAGCCACTGTAGTTGTGAAAACTTTGAATTTTGTATCCATTTGTGTATTGTCAACGTTGTATGTATATATATTTTAACATTCAGAACAACTATTGTAATAGTGGTTTCCAGACTGTATCTATGTCCCTCTGATGATGGTCTCTAAGGACCGAAACATGTAAGGGCATGAAGAACTGAAATATGAAAACGTCACCAGTCACACTGGATGGACTTGTTTTATCTTATGTATGATGATTCTACTCCTCCATTGTTCTTCAAAATGGTGAACGGTGTTGAAGAATGTATGACTTAATCTTTCACGAGTAACCCCTGTACAGTCTCAAAAGTTTTTCCATTTTGGAAAACATTGTTGAGGAGAAGAGGTGATGGGGAATTTTTTTGGAGATTGGTGGTCATGCAAAGAAGTGATAAAAACTGTGTTTGTGATCCCATGTTTAGGGCAGGAGATGGAATTGTTTTAGTGGCCACATGATGATGAAGGGTGTTTTTGCAGCCACTTTTTTAGGGAGAAGGTACCAAAAAAGTGTTTGGTGACCATGCAGATAGAGGCAGAATATTGCAGCTAATATATCAGCTGGCTACGGCTAGATGACTGGGGGTCGGTTTGAGTCCTAGTAGAGTCAAGAATTTTCTCTTCTCCACGTCATCCACACTGTCTCTGGGGTGCACCCAGCCTCCTGTCCAGTGGGTACCACAGGGCTTTTCCCACGGGTAAAGCGGCCATGTGTGAAGCTGATCACAAACTAATGCTGAGGTCAAAGAAATGTGGATCTATACATCCCTTCCCTCATACACCTTCATGGCATAGTGCTTAATTAGTTAATCACAGGGCAACTTTATGGTTGAATTTATGATAGTGCTTTGTTATTCTCATGACTTCTCAGAAGCTGTAAGGCTGGTACGTCCAGTTGTTGGGAAACCTTTAACATTCTAACCATCTTGTTTCAGAAGTCAAATTCATACTCTCATAAGGCCAAGAATGTTGAAAGTGTCAATGTAGATCATCTCCCTGTGCCACTTCTGATGAGCCACCAGTTTTAACAGGAATGTATTCTGGCTTCCTATTCAAGTCTAGCAATTTCCATTTTATTACCAGAATTAATGTTGAACGTTTTTTTATGCAAACAACAAGCAGCACAATCACAAACAGTTTCAGCTTCCATTTGCTAGCCATACAATACAGTACAGAATGAAATAAGCTACTGAACTGAAAGGAAGGTCAGGTGATGTCACATAATGTACATACTGAAAGGTTAAAATTTGGAGGAACTGAAGCTTGAAGCCATCATATTGTACTAAGAACAGTCTTGAAAATATTCCCTACTGTGACTATATAACAATTTAAGTAGTTGGCTGATATTTCTTTATTACATATTAGAATTCATATGCACATGCTCACTAAGTATTTATGCCATAAGACTGAATACATTCTATACACAGATTCTGAAAAACGGCCTTCTTTCTATGCAAGAGAGGAGCCCAAGGGTGCATTAACTAATACCATTATGGACTGCCTGCTAGAAGTAGTGAGGGAAACAGATCTAGAAGTATACATATAGTCATGGAGAAAGTACAGAATAGAGTTGCAGCTGCATAGGAATCACTTGTAATGAATTGCAAGTTCTAGATATAAGGGTTGGAACTTTAATAGTGGCAACACTCCTGTAGAAATGCCTTGCAGTGGAACCAAATAATGTCACTTATACCACACGTTAGTTACATACCTTACCTTAGAGCAAATGGACTCTCCCTTCCCATATCGCGCACATGTGCAGTGACGAGAAGCACAGAGCCTCGTGTTAGCCGGCGGTGTAATGTTGTGTTGTCACGATGTTTTTGAAACAGGAACAAAGGAGTTGGATAAAGACTGAATGTGCCAGAGGCTGTACAGCATGACAGTGTCATCAAGATCTTCAAGAGGCTTGTGGGGAATCTGCATTGCCTTACAGAACAGTGGTAAGGTGGGTAAAAGCCTTCAATGAGGGATGCCAAAATGTGGCAGGCATGCATCGGCCAGGTCGTCCTAGTGTCAGTGAAGAAGAAGTATATGTTCTTTCCGCATTACTGGAGAGGGATCAACACCATATGATTCGTGAGCTGGCCCAAGAGACAGTATTAGCGCCTACGACTGTGCTTCACATTCTGAAGGAATGCCTGGGCATGAGAAAAATTGCATCATGATGGGTTCTGCATGATCTGATGGAAATGGAGAAATGATTATGATTTGACACTGCTTGTAACCACTTGGAGTGCTATGAGCACGAAGGAGAGGCTTTCTTACGCTGGATGAGACATGGGCCAAATTGTACAAGCCACAAATGAAACACCAATGAAATGAATGGCGTCATTATGGGTCACCACGGAAATCAAAAGTTCATCAGAACCCCAGCAATGTGAAAGTTATGGTGATTCTCGTGTACGCATACTGATCCCTGACAGCAGACCGTCAATGTGCAGTATTACTGTTCATTTTTGGAGCACAACCTGCTACCAGCTTTGAGAAAGCAGCAGCGACACTTTCTACAGAACCCACCCATCATTTTTCAGGACAATTCTAGGCTGCAAGCTGTGGCTGATTTGTTCAATCGAAGGGGCTGGGAAGTGCTGTACCATCCACCATACTCCCTGGACTTTAGCCCTTATGACTTCGACTTGATTCCTAAGATGAAGGAACCACTCATGACATTCACTTCAGAACTGTTCCAGAGATTCTTCAGGCAGTAGACTGCTCCATTTGAACTATCAACACAACAGGTGCTGCTAAAGGTAACCTTTGACTTCCACATCGCTGGCAACGGGTTGTACACAATGCTGGTGACTACACTGAAGGACAGTAAAACTTCGAAACATGCATCTATTTTGTATCAGTTGTAAATAAATAGTTGCCACTATTAAAGTTCCAACCCTTGTAGAAGCTCCTCCCTCATAATTTTATGCAAGTTTTTTTTAGTATTTGGAACATTAGGAAATTAATGGTGCTGTCGATTTCTGTTACTGTAATTAAGGTACTGTTATAAATTGAACTAGCTCTGTTACAGTTGCACTGTGCTGTGGAAGACATAATATGTAGAAGTCATAACTACCTTAGTTTTGTAAATTGAAACAGAAGAAAGTTACTGTCACATTTGTGCAGTGAAGCATGTGCAGTTTCACAAAATTATCTTTTCGGAGTCATCTGGTACTTCTTATTTTTTGTGTCTATAATTTTAAATGTTGTGTTTTTACAGGTAATTATGAGCAGTCTGGAAAGAGATATGATTTCCAAAAGAACAACCAGAATGAGGTAATATACTTATTATTGGTAGCATCTAAATAGATCAGAGATTTTCATTTTCTTAGGAGGTCCAGCCAAGTCTCTACCAACAAGATCAGAAAATTCATCACCACTAACATAAAAGTCTGTATGCTATCCTAAACCAATTCAGTCTGGTTCACATCATAATGCTTTTAAGGTTCATTTTAGTATTGATCTCTCTCCTTTTGTCATTGTTGTTTGTATGTATGCAAGAACTGCAGTGCCTTGCCAGCCATGGCGGGTACATTCATGAAAACCACCACAAATAACAAAATTATGTTTGCAAGACAAATCCTTGTGGAAAATTTACAAGTTAGGGGAACTGCTGTTACTGTCACTGCTAACACTCATTGAAACTTAAGTTGCCATTTCATTCATTAAGCACCTAATGTGTGTAATAACACTGGATATAGAATGTGACTGTAAAAATGTATCACATAAAAGCACACGGGAGTAATAAATGGAAGCTAGAAAGTTAGTTTTGCTTCCAGTAAATATGGTCCATATGTACCACGAATTTAAAACTGTGGATACATAAACACATTGCTGATTTCAGCCAATACACACACCCCCAAACTTCTCAAAGATTTTGTATCTTCCTGTCCATTATGTTTTTGTTCTGAAGCTAAAACCAAGCATGAGGGTACCAGAAAACAGGTTTTTAGAAACAGAGTGCTGCATAAAACCATTGCTGGCAAAACTGAATGCATATGTAAACCTGGTTGTTTGAAATCCACAGTTAGTCAGGGATTGCTGCACATGAATCCATTTTGTGTCACAGGCGAAGAGACCTCATTTCACAACCATACAATATAGTGAAGTGACTGTTATATATGTCATAATCTTCTGGATGTTTTTAAGATTTAATGCTCAGTGTTTTGTATAAGGCATAATCATTACCATCTGTCCAGTTTTGTCTGCCTTAAAACTGGTATTGAAAATGATACACATTTCATCATTAACCAGAGAAATAATGGAATTATAAATTTTGTCAACAGATTTTATACCAAACTGTAGAAGAAAATGAAAAGAATATTCTGAAAGGAGCTCTGATATCAACCCCAAAAATGTAAAATATAAACTCAGAGAAAGAAGGTGCTTTGAAAGGATGAAATATCTGTAACACTGTAGCAGGCCAGCTGTTTGTTAGTGAAAATAAAGGGGTTTTATTTTTCTCTTTTTTGTCTCTTTGTTTGTCTGATTCTTAGTTCCTTATTTTCCTTTTATTTAAATGTCCCTTTTTTTAATTTTGTGTATTTTTAAATTTACAGGATAATATTGGAAAAAAGAAATAACGCAGTAGTTTGTTAATTTTATTTTAGTGTGCACATACATGCAAATATATAAAACATTTAAAAGTTAATTTACACTTGTAAAAGCTGTTATGCCCTCACCCCAGGACATTATGAGCCAGTAAACTAACAGCCCTCATATGGGCTGACTGGCTTTCTGTTTTTACTCAGCATGCTGGATTTTAGAAATTATGGTGCTTTTATCTTTAATGTGCTTCAGCCTGGGGATAACTTTGCTTTTTATATTCCTCATTGTGCTTTATATTCTTATTTTCAGAATGTGAAGACAGAGGTGTGGGGTGGCAATATGCAAGCAGCAACTCAGAAGTGGGATGATAGTGGTGCCCAGTCTACCGTTTCTGGTTCCATTCCTGAAGCAGCAGTTAAAATTGGAGATGTGAAACCAGTGGAGGTGGTGTTCTTGGCAAGCCCAGAGGAATTTTGTGTTCAGGTAAGAGTTTCCATAGTTAAATATTATATCTGAATAAACTATAAACATTAACCAAAAAGTAAACAGAAGAAGGTATATCTATACAACAATTGGATTTAAAGCCAGTAAGATTAATAAAATGGCAGTATTAACTGTGTTGAGAGGATGTAAGAGGACGTGTGTTCATGCAGCACAGGAAATAAAAGAACTGACCAAAATAGTTTCTTTTTGCCACAGAAGCCTGTGGTTTAATGTGATCACATCATTCACCATCCTGTAATGGTGGTCAGGCACATCCATTTCCGTCTAGATTTAGCAGTTGTATTCAGTTTTGGACAGCATTATGCAGTAGGATAAGTCCGCTTGGTTGAATAATGCACAGAAAGGTGAAGATCAGTTTTGTGCCTGATTGGGGGTAGAGCAAATAGTCTTGTAACGGTTATACTGCACTTTCATGTACAGGAATTGAACTGCCCCACATGTTGTGATTTAACCCCTACACCACTCCTTCCCCTTGGCTTCTTTTCTTAAACCATGTTCACATGGGCCTTTGAGAGTTTCAGTGAGAGAGTCACAGGATAGACAACTTTCCTGCTTGCATGAATTGAAAGGGGTGCAAACAAAACCAAGTTTAGCTGGAAGTAGCTGAATTATCTAGATCGAGCAAAATTTTCCCTCTGTTTAATATTGAAATTCACTGCTCCCAAAAGAAACCTTAACTAGAAGCTTCTCTCTGTTACGTGTAGAGAGTTGTATTGCTTATTCAAGGAACAATTATTTCATTAACCATGCCAAGTAACATACTCTGCTAATGGTATAATTGATTCAATTGATCAGACAAGCAAGCAATCTGTTTTACAGCCACTGAACATTTAATTTTCCAACTAACTGGTTCAGTCCTGAATGTATAAACTAAATGTATGAATTGTGGGCCTGCAATTGTACAGCACTGGTTAAAAAGACAATTTCATACAATTTTTGTCCAGTGGTCGAACAGTAGTATTCCAAATACTGACACAGATTCCTGAAGCTACGGTATCAGCATGTTGCTTTAATACACACATGCATGTGCCCACACTCACACTGACTTAAAATGGACTCTGCTGTTACCTGTAGCAGCCCTCTTATGTTAGATACAGGAAATATAAATGTTCATTCTTGAATGTTATGTAGTAGTTGCATAACAGTTTTATGTTACAAACACTTTCAAATTTAACAACTGTTTCATGATTGTTTATACATGTTTAACATTTCCACACCCTATACCTCTACAGTTCGCCTACCCCAGGCCATCTTTAGCAGTAAAAAATAAAAGGAAAATAAAGGTATCCCTGTAAGAGGCCATGGGGGCCTGTAAGGTTGTGAGATGTTGAGGTTCCCACAATTTCTAGACAGTCAGCTCATAGATGGCGGTAAGGTTGTCAGCTTTACCTGCTGGTCGCCCTTTACCCCCAAGAACATTCCAAGAATATTCCTGATACTCATTTCTGTTAGAGGCTGAGTTGACCCCAGGCCAATGGTGTGGCTGGAAGGATTAGGTAAATTGAAAAAAATTCAGTGACCTCATCAGGATTCGATTCCGTGACCTTCTGGCTTGTAGCATAGTGCCTCAATGTGTCATAGCTCAAGCGGTTAGTCACTGGCTTCCCGCCTGGGTTCGATCATGGGTCTCGTCAAGTGGAATTTGTGGTGGACAAAGTGGCACTGGGGCAGGTTTTGTCCGAGTACTTCAGTTTCCCCTGCCAATCTTCATTCCACCCGTTGCTCCACAATCACCCTCACCTATTTTCTGGGGCTGGTACAGTAGGCCAGAAGTGGCCACAGTACAAGGGACTTAGTCCCACTCCACTAGCAATAATAATAATAATAATAATAGTGCTTCAACCAACTATGCTTCTGCATGCCGTATACTAGCAGTATTCCACAGATACAATAAGTGTAAATGGTCTACACATGTCCAAAAAATTGCAAAAAGTGGTTACATGCACCAACTAGTGACAGATAAAGAAACCACTTGCTCAGAGCACTTGCAGAAATAAAAATTGTTCACCTTGTCAAAGCGTATTCTTAACTGACCAAACTCATGTGCAGTAGTTTGAACACAGCATCTGTAAATAAAGCAAGCTTGTTTGCAGGAAAGGGTGTTAAAAAAGTGGCATTGAAATATGTGTCATCCTTGCCTGCTTCCATATTGGAATGCAAGTAATATGCCATATTTATTTTGTTTCTCTTACTTCTTGCTGTGTGAATTCTGAGTAATTTAAATTTGTAAATAAATAAACAAGCTTAAGTCTGATATAGGTAGTCCATTTATGTTTATAGAATTCAACAGAATACTAATTTCACAATGTATAAAGTAATATTTGTTGTGAAAAACAGTTCTGTAATGAGAAGGAACTGAAATCAGTAGAGATAACAGATGATAGCCATCAAACTCTAATTTATGGAATGGTAACAACTTTGCAGGATATTGAATATCGAGAGTTATCTTGTTATTCCCACTAAGAATGTTAACTGTACGAGTATATGTTCTACAAATCATTGTCAATTGGTAGGATGATTGTGAATAATGGATTGGAAAGAATGAGGTAGGAAGTGGTTGTCAGTTATTTTAAGGTGTTATCCCAGCATTATGGAGGGAATGAGGAAGTTCACAAGCTACATCAAAGAGAATAGGGAATACATGGTCTTCAAATTGCAAATCTCTTATAGTATTGTCACTGCAGTCTATATTTTATAATTGAATGCTTCTTGTTTTCCCATCAGATGACTTCTGAAAGTTCCAAACTGACTTCTGTGATGAAAGGTATTGCTTCAAAATATGGTAGTGGTGGTGGCAACCCTGTTCCCAGTGCACGTTTGAGAACTGGCACTGCTTGTGTGGCTCCCTACTCTGAAGATGGCATTATGTACCGAGGCATTATAGAAAGTGTGGATAGTATCTCGGCAGTTGTCCTGTTTTGTGATTATGGTAACAGACAGGAAGTGACTTTAGATAAGATAAAGGATATTTCCAATGAATACCTGAGCCTTCCCATACAGGGGCTTACATGCAAGTTGCAAAATGCTAAGCCTCAGAATGGTGTTTCATGGTCAGAGGATGAAATAGTTAAATTCACCACTCTGACAGAAGAAAAGAAACTGCAAGCATATTTTGTCAGAAAGTCAAATGGAGTATACGAAGTAGTGCTGACAGATATTGAAACTGGAAGTGACCTCAATGATCAATTTTGTGCAATACCTGAACAAGTGCAGGATGTAGGTTCTAAAGTTGGGGACAGTCAAAACTATGAACTGGCTTCACCAGATCAGAGATACCTTCTTCAAAAAGTGACACCAGAAACTGAACACATGGTCGCAATAACATGGTTTGTTAATCCAGAACAATTTTATTGTCAGATGGTGTCATCACAGTTGGCAATAAAAGAGTTGATGGATGCGATTCAGTCTGCATATTATAGCAAACCTCCAGTTACAGCTCCTGTCGAAGTTGGTTCTCCTGTCATAGCGAAGTTTTTAACAGATGGTGTCCTGTATCGTGCAGAGGTGAAGGAAGTCCTGGACACTTCATCTCTTATTGTACAGTTTGTAGACTATGGTAACTGTGATATTGTGAAGCAGAACGATGTGTGGCATATAGAGGCAAGGTTCATGGACTTGCCAAAACAGGCATTATCCTGTTGCTTGAGGGGAGTGGAGGCTCCAGATTCGCAGTGGTCCAGAGGTGATAAGGGAGTTGATAAGTATTTTGAAGCAGAAAAATTCTGTTGCACATTCCATAACTGTGAACAAAATAAATACAGCGTGTCACTGATGTCAGAAGGGAAGAGCATTGCTGACCAACTTCTGGAAGATGGGCTAGCTGTGGCTCAAGCTGTTCATTCCAAGACTGTGAAGACTGCAGATACTTGTAAGTACATGCACCATACCATCCACCTGTTATACTCCATTCTTTCCTTAGGTTTCTGAAGCAGTGTAATCCAATGCAGTAACATGGGAGCTGTGTAAAATCTTATATTGAGAAAAAGACAGATCTACAAGTTTAGTTAGAATATTTTTTAACAGCGAAATTACAAACATTGTGATATCAAATATTGTGGTAGTATCTTGCAAATTTGGTGTGGAACTGTAGTAATTATGCTCAAAAATACATCTCAGAATTGTGTAATTACAAAATTTAGAGTTCTCAGCTTCACCACATAGATTGAAGACTTTGAAGGAAAACACACACATCAGTTCTTCCAGAAAGTCTTCGTGCTTTTTGTAACTTGTACATTTATTTCAAAGCCAGTTTCTGGACTGGCGTGGGAAAGGATTAACAGATTTTTTGTGACATTTATTCCCCTCCCCCATTGAGGAAGAATTGTTGAAGTAATTACAAATTTTGTGTATAGTACGTGGTGCATTCCGTATATAATACCTCCTATTTTTTTTTTGTGTTAATATGTAACATCTGAACTGGATGTTGGTGGTGTTGTAGTAAAGGTTGAACCTTCCCACCAATGTACTGTTAATTTGGTTGTCGTGAGACAGATAGCGACAGCAGAGCAGCCTACCAAAATGGCGTCTGACATAAAGTGCGTATGAAAGAGAAATGTGTTATTGAATTTCTCACTGCCGAACAAATTTTACCCATTGACATCCAACAACACTTGCTAAAGGTGTACGGAGGCAATACAGTGGATGTCAGCACAGTGATTCGGTGGGTAGTGCGTTTCAACAGTGGCAAAAGTGAAATGCAAGACAAGCCACGCCATGGGCGTCCCTGCTCAGCTGCCACTCCTCACAATGAACAGCACCTCATCTGAACAGATCAGCAGATAACGACCAGGGACTGTCAATTCTGAATGCTACAAGACGACGCTGACTAAGCTGAAAGCCCGTATTTCCCGAGTCAGGCCAGAGAAGCAGACAACCTTTCGCTTGCAACACGATAACGCTAGACCCCATACCAGTTTGGCAACCACCGCGCACATTGCAAAGTTTGGCTGGACTGTCCTACCACATCCACCTTATAGCCCCGATTTAGCACCTTCAGACTTTCATCTCTTTGGGCCTATGAAAGACGGACTACGTGGGCAACATTTTCCAGACAATGATGCTGTCATTGCAGCTGTAAGAAAGTGGGTAGCCTCTGCTGGCGCAGACTTTTACAGGTGCGGCATACATGCTGTTGTTCATCAATGGCAAAAGTGCATAACGAATGGGGGTGATTATGTGGAAAAATAGCTGTAAGTAGCTGAAATCTTGCTCTATTTAACTGCGTTATTATGCTTTCTGTATCTGTTGCAGTTTTCTTTAAAAAAAATAGGAGGCATTATATACAGAACGCCCTTAGTAGATACATTGTTACTGTTTTAAGGTACTTGATTTTGAAGTACTATTTACTATATGTTATTTTATAAATTTTTCCCTGGTTTCAGTTGTATGGCATGTATGTATATTTAGAGACCAAATTCTTTCCTTGGTTAAATATAGCTTGCTTATGCTGTTTCACTTTTACAGTATGATACTATCAACATAGAATTGAAACTCACAGAATGTCTATAGTTTCAGCAGTTTGTCTCACAGTCCAGTTATTGTTTTCTTGAGACTTTTACTTTCAGTATAGTTATAAATATACACTAAACAGTTTTTTGCTCTTTGTGTCGGAGCACCTGTCCACAAATATGCCTGTAGGTGACAAATGTATAATCAGATTGCGTGCAATGTAGTGCATGAATTAGCATATTGGACACTCATACACAGGTGATCATATGATTGAATCTTGTCCATGATTTATTACAACCGTCTTACAGTGCATACATTTATTCACCTTACTCTTCTCTCTTGCACTACATGTTTCAGTACAAAAGTGCCATCTTCAGGTGCTTTTCGATGTACGTCAAACTACTTCTTTGCATGCCCTGCTGTCTTCATATTAAAATAACCAAAATATATATTCATCATATATATTGATAAATATTAAATATTAAAACTGTTCAGGATTTGTCATCCTTATGTCGTATCTCAGTACGCGAGTCACGCCTATCTTTTTCTATCGGAGTACTCTTCCTACTTTCATGTGTGTATTGTGCTTTGTGTTGTGTCTTGCTCCTGTGACTGCGTGTATTGGTATAACAAAGTCTGAAGTTGGGGTGGCCTACAGTGGCAAAACAGTCATGTGAAAATTGGTCGTGGACAAGGTCTGAAAGGGAACATGTACAGACAGGATGGTGATCTCTTATGCAAGGAAATCTGGTTAAAAAGTGAACTGTTAATAATATTTTGAAATATACTAGACCAGTTGTGTGAGAAGCTATTGCAACAAAGAGATCCTTTATGTTTAGCATGCAAGGCGGTGATAATCTTTTTGAAAAGAAGATCACCATCATCATCTTCAAAACAAAATTTAAAGATACTGTCTGCATGAGTAGACTATGAATCACTTTTGCTACTGTAGTGTAGGAAAAGTGCAATTAGATTACAGCCCAGTATAAGAAAACATTGTAGTTTTTCAGTGCTGTAAGTGGAGAATGAATATATACGTGGTACAGTAATTAAGTTCGTGGACTGTGGTTTTGTCACATCATATTACAAGGTATTCACATACACTTACACAGATGCACATCACCCCTCAAAATAGTTGCCATTGGCCACTATGTAAGTCTGCCAACGTTGATATAGCTGCAGAAAACATTGCTGAAACATATTGGTAATTCCCGTACTGCGTCTCTTGTGTCATTGAAGTCCTCGAATGACTGAAATCTATGACCACGTAGCTTTGCTTTCAAGTGGTGAAACAGAAAGTAATCACGTGTGAGACCAGGTGAGTACGGAAGTTTTGGAAAAACGATGACCTGTTGCCTTGCAAATTCCTCTTGGACAAGAACAAAGTGATGTGCAGGGGCATTGTCGTGTAGCAACAGCCAATTCTTTATACGCCAAATGTTGCGCTAGGGTATTTTCCTAGTTTTTGGCAGAACTTGATGTTTTCCCATTGTTCAAACTGCCACATTTTCGATTTCTGCCACTTGAATTTAACTGCAGTTCACAATAGAAGCAGTAGTTCTGCTTACACTGTTTGCACACAGCTGCCACTTGCTGTGACGAGAGATGAACTGACAGGGCATCATATTGTGCCTCAGCCTATCCGCTGTAATGCACTACGACGCTTTGCGGCCAGTCCACGAACTTATTGACTATGGTGGTAAAATAATACCATAATTACATCCCTTTGTGTTTGTAGTTTCTCATGAAGAGAAGCATCTTCAGCCTTTCTTTTTGTGTGTGTTACAAAGAAAATGTTAGTTTAAAATGATCTATCTACCAAATGTAATGTCTTTATTTTTTCTCTATTTTGAGCTTGTTTATTTTGCCAATTTGATTTCTTGCACCATGTTTGAAACAAGTGTTTTGCAAATATGGCTCTGATGGAATGAAGTGATTGAGGCAGGTAGCCTGCATTAATACAGCAGGAGCATGCTGAAAGTAAAAACTTAATGGTAAGTGGAAATCCTTTGGGTTTGATACATATAGCATATCAGTCATTTTAAGTATGATAATATATTACTGCATTCTTTTGTTAGAGTGTAGCCATTATTAAACATGATAATTTAATTTCATTGCACAACATGAATTAGGACACATTGATCATCCATGCAGAAGGTAATCAGTAAAAGTGGTAAATTTGGGTTAAAATTTGTTTTTGAAGTCTTCTGTAGAAGCCAGGTGCATTTCTTATCCATATCAGCCCACTATAACCCAGTTTACATGAAGCTTACATTGAACTTTAACAAATTTCTCAGAATGTCACAGCATGCAATAAAGTGGGTACATAACATTAAATAGATTTCTCATTAATATCTATAACATATATTTTAACCCCACAGAAAAACAACTCCGTCCAGTGTGACTATTAGAGTTTTTACTACGTGAAAAGTTAACGCCCTTACGTGGTTCAGTCCTTACAGACCGTCATCAGAGGGAACATCGATACTTTTTTTGAAACTACTATCAGAATGGGTGTTTTGAGTGTTAAAATACATATACATACAATGTTTGTAATTCACAATATATACAAAACCCAACTTTTCCACAACTACAGCAGCTTTCTTGGTATATTAAAGTTCTCGAAGTTTTTAAAACTTTGTAATTTAAGTTAAAATTTATAAACCAAGTAGGTTATGCCCCTTCTCGTATCGTCTTTCTTTATGGGGGCTGAACTTGTGCCGCCTGTCTATCTTGAGAAGGAGATTCTTGGTATCGTCCTGTGTTTGTTTGTGGCGTGCTTTGCAAATAATAGATTTTGTATTTGCATAATATCTGATGTATGGTGGGGCATGTGGTAGTGTAGTTGGTTGAGGCACTCTGCTACAAGCCAGAAGGTAGTGGGTTCAAGTCCCAATGAGGTCATTGGATTTTTTCCAATTGACCTAATCCTTCTGTCCGCACTATGGCCCTGGGGTTGACTCAGCCTCTAACAGAAATGAGTACCAGGAATTAATTAAATAATTTTTCTGGGGAGTTAAATGCGGCCGGCGCATAATGCTGACAACCTTACCGCCATCTGTGAGCCAATTGTCTAGATAATGTGGGACCCTCAACGTCTCACAACCGTATGGTCCTTCATGGCCTGTTAAGGGGCCCATACACATAGGAGTCTGGCTCGCAAGTCCAACTCGGGTTTCAATGAGTCAAACTCATCCATGTGTGGGTCACCACACTCATACATGTGTGGTGAAATTAATCTGAGCCAGACTCACAAGCCAGACTCGTACATGTATGGGCCACTTTACAGGGATAGCTTTACTTTTACTTTTTTTTACTCATGTCTGGTGTCGGCAGGTGTCTTTAAACAGTTCTCCAAAAAGAAACTCATTTTCTCAAAAATGATATGTATAGATATAGCCCAAAGCGATTTTCTTCATATCGTGTACAGGTGATTATTTTATATGGTGCTTTAAAATCCACACGACTTTCTTTAAATTAACAAAATAGCATGAAGCCATCACAGACTTTTCTACGCACATGGGAGAATGGTTCATAAAACCAAAATGTGTTCAGTGTAGCTTGTGTCCTTGTAGCTCATACTTTGTGCAAATAAACAATGAAACTGCAGAATCTTGTTATTGTAGCGTGTTGGTGTGTCACGCTACAAATAAGTTCACGCCGTTCTTTGATATAGCGAGTTTATTCTTATCGCTCACCTTACACACTCTTTACAATCATCACACTTGCAGTGTTACAATCACTGCTTACGATATTCGGCGAGACACTGGACTCTCTTCTCCGAATGCTGATCCGAGACTTTCTTCTCCGGAGGCTTGATCACGGCTGGCTTCTTAGCTGGCTCGATGAAGACTGACTGTTTCTCGCTGAAGCTGGGCTATTTATAACCTCGGCCGCTGTTAGGCAACGAACCCTCTGTTATAGCAGTGGAAACGTCGCTTTGTTGGCTCCGCGTTTCCTACGCAATAACCCATTGTTATCGCGTTGTCTCTATGGGAACCTTTGCGTGTTCTCGTAACCGTGGAGATTCGATGTTCTCGGTACAACGGCTCACTGTTGGGATTACAGTGCCGCTATTGTTACTTCCTATGTAACAGTCCATTCTAGCGTTTCCATAGAAGTTACTCCTCTGGTTTGCCGACACGTTACACNTTTTTTCGTTTTGGAGGGGGTCGACCCCTCCACAAGGTCCAGTCTTTGTTTCGGCGTAGGCCAGCGGGGGATTTGGCTATACCGTTTGCGGCTTTCCTCCCTTTCCTCGGATGTAGAGGCTCCTCTACGTCTCGGCTCCTTACGCCCTTGCTGCATTCCTTTTTCGTCTGATGTCCCCTCCCGGGCATGTATCCTGTTGCGTCTTTCTTCAGTATGCCGTTCCTGACCCAGTTCTTTCTGGGGATCCTGTTGCGCCGTGCTACTCTGGCATGGAAGGTCGTCCCCTTGCTGGAGAATCCCAACCTCTCGTGGGGTCCGCGCTTTGTCTGGGTGGTGTCCCTGAGGATTTCTATCTTGAGTCGTGACACACTCGCCCGGCGTATTATCCTTCTGTAATCGGCAGCCAATTCTTTGCACTGGCAACCGAAGGTTCCCTTGGGAGCTTCCTTCTTGAAGTCTTTTCTCCAACGTTGTGCCACTGTCGCGCGACGGGATGTCATTCTGTGGCCGACGGCCAATTCCTTCTGGGGTTTATGAATTACCCGTGTTGCACCCTTCGCTGTCTGGCGGCGGCACTCCGCGGCCAGTTTCTGGTCCCTACGCCTTTTCTTCGGTTCTCCGACCGGTATCCTCGGGGCGTCTTCTACGGGGACTTCATGATGCTCCAGTACGGACTGCATCACTTCTGGGCGGGGCTCAGTTTTCTCGTGGCTAGTTCTCTTTTCTTCCCCCCAGGCTTTCCAATCGGCCATCAGCTCCTTGTGTCTGGCTTCCGCCTTGGCCTCGTTTGCCTCCATTTCTTCTTTGTTGGCCTTCCTATCGGCCGACGCCTTGGCCTGGTCAGCTTTTCTATTGGCCTCCGTCGTTTCTTGGTAGGACCTCATGTTGGCGTCCATTCTTGCCAGCATTTCTAGCACTTGCTGCATCTCCATTCTTTTTTTTTTTTTTGAAGGGCACGTGTTAAAGTACAAAGTCACTTCTGACACCAATTGTCACGTGTCTTGAGTTCGAATCTTGTCGGTCACGTGTGTAGCTCAATCCCACTTCTGACACCAATTGTCACGTATTGGGCGTATAACGTGACACACCAACACGCTACATTATATTTTCTGTAGAGATGCATTCAGTTTGTGACTCAGTGGCGGTTTTCAGTTCAAGAATTGTGTGCATCTTTTTGTGAACTTCTACCCTTGTAATAGCCTCAAAGATAATTGTTAGAACTCACATTTTTTTATATTTTTCCTTACAGAAATTGTCAAGTACAGTGGAAGCAATTCACTTATTTGACATTTATGACAACAGATAACAGACTTCAACAGCATTGTAAGAAAAGTGTCTTAATGATTTGTTTATTGTTTCCACAGAAGAAAAAAATTCTGTTAGCTGTTGTCAGATAGTGTAATAACACTGTAATGCTTGTGTTAGTGAGTACAGGAACATTCCTTGAAGAAATTCCAGATGTTTAAATGTTACATGGTTTGCAGATAAAGGTAAAGCAATCGCTGTAACAGGACCATAGGGTTCTGAGGTGAGGCTCCCCCATTTTCTAGACAGTCTGCTCACAGATGGCAGTAAGATTGTCAGACTTACATGCCAGCTGCCATTTGTCCCCCCGGAAAATTCCTGGTACTCATTTCTGTTAGAGGCTGAGTCGACCCCAGGGCCATTCTTATTATTATTATTATTAGAGGGGGTGGGTTTCCCCATGCACTTAGACCAGTTATTGGTCCATTGTGCGTCCCCCTTAATTTCTACTGTCGCCATACTCTACCAGTACTTGTGCGTGCTATCAGCCCCATTCAGCCAACGAGGTCGGCCATCGGTACCTGATACTTCCCCCATCTACCAGAGACATTGGAAACTACTTGGGCGGGAAATTGTTGCCTAATTTTGCTCAGAGGTCTCCTAGAGACATGAGGATCTTTTATGTGCCGTAAATCTACGACATGGGACCCACGGCTTAAAGTCCCTCCCGGAGGACTTGTTCCCTGAATTTTTCCGCCCGTAAAAATTCCACAACCTCCGCCGGGTTTGAACCCGCGTACGTTGAGTAATGAGCTGGGAATGTTACCCCTAGATTACAGAGGCCGCTACCCCAGGGCCATAGTGCTGCCGAAGGATTAGATAAATTGAAGGATCCAATGACCTGATAGGGAATAGAACCCTGACATTCCAGCTTGTAGCATAGTGCCTCAATCAGCTGTGCTACCTTGTGCCCCCCATGGTTCTCAAATGAAGCTGAATTTGGTTTTGATATTAACAAACAGGATGTTAAATTTTGATCCTTCAAGGGTCCATTGTTTACTCCTTTGCATGTGGTATTTGTTATTGGCATCAGAATATTTGGTCCTGTGTTGATGTTAAGTCATTTCTGGTTAGCTGGAGAAGGGATGACTATGTCCCTTTGCTGCAGGGATATGGATGCAGTAAATACAAGCCAGTTTCATCAAGATAATACAGACCTCACACCAGCAGTGCCATACTTTGGTTACTTCGTGATTGTTTTGTGGTTATACTTCAGTTTCTTCATGATTGTTGTTGTGGATAGAATTCTGTCAAATGCATATACTTTCAGTAAGAATTGTTATGGCAGTCACTTTTGCCAGACCTAACCCCTTGTAACTATTTCCTGTGGGGATTTGAAGGACATGTTGTTTCTAGAAATTTGAACACAGACCAGGGATTGAAAATTGAAATCCTCTCGAATTTAATGCATATCTGTTACAACTCTGACCAAGGAGCTTTGTAATTTCATTGCTTATTTGCAGAAAGTTAACTTCAAGGGTAGCACACTGAAAATTTGTGGTTTAAGAATTATTACCCAAGGTTTATGAAAGTGTCATCAGTTCTAGTGTCTAATTATAATTAAATCACTCCATATTTATATTGAATGTTGATTTGATATGAGCTGATACATTTCACCTTAACATTTCAGGTATTTTAATTGATCATTGAAATGCAAAATTATTTTCAAAAATTGAAAAAGAAAGGGCTCTGTTTTATAATAATATATAAATTAGATTATGTTAGAAGGAAAGTGGACTTGGCGAAGAATGAGCCCACAAACATTTCTCCACATGAAGTTGTGACTGAAACATCCATTGACTTTCCATTGACCTGTTCTTGAATGGTTCATCTTATTAATAAATTTTGTTATGAACCCAGAAGGTCTGTGATCACAGTAGTCCTCATAAGGCCTATTATGAGCCATTTTAGCTGTTTTTATATTCCTAATATCCTTCGATTTTATACATAGGTCTTTTCCTTTGTATGCTTATTTTGTACATGGCATCTTTTTGATTTAATGATGAAACAGTATGGTTACAAGGGTATTTATTTTGTAATTTTCTCCAGTAATTTGTTATTTCCTCTTTATTAGATCCAAATATTCCTCTCTCTCTCTCTCTCTCTACTCTTAAATGAGTTGTATATATGTATGTCTTTCTTGTGGAAATTTACACCAAGTTCAGACTCATGTTTGCTTTCAGGTGAGATGTTTCTAGACTTCAGCCTATTACCTGGCCAGATTATTGCTGCACATATTACATGTGTTGAATCAGTTTCCAAGTTTTTTGTCCATCTTAATCCTACACTGGCAAACAGAATTCAGGCCCTTGTTGATGAATATGTTCAGAACCCAGAGGTGAGAAGTTTTTTTTCTTCCTTAAACTTGTAAGGCTAAACCCATGTTTCTGGAGAAGCTGGAAGAAACATATTGCATTCATGAACTCGAAAAGGAAACTTTTATTTTATCGGAGGTTGAATGAAGTGTACTTTTCAGAATAACATTTGAATTATGTATTAATACTAATAAATATTATTTATAGAACATACAGCCTGTTGGATGTAACAACCTTGCAGTTAATAGTCTGTGCCTAGCTTCACGAGATGGTGTTCAGTGGTACCGTGGGGAGATTGTTGACTTCTCAACGACAGGCACATTTATAAAATTCATTGACATAGGAGACTACGATCAGATACCTCTGGACAAGGTATTTGAAATTGTGAACTGTTTATAAAACTAAGTCAGTCTGGAATGTGATTAGTGTGTGCATGTGCATAGTAGGTGGCTCATATCTATGCAACTACATACTTTTAACTGCCAAACAAATTTACACATTTCAGTAAAATTTGGTGTGGAAGATCTACACTAAAGGTCTTATTACTTACTTACTTACTTACCTGCTTACTCACTCATGGAGCTGAGCCCTTCTGGAGGAGCCGCCAATTCTGCAGCTACTCAAGAATTTCCCAGCGTTTTATGGAACCTGAAGATTCATCACCGAGTTCACAAGAGCCCTTCACTGGTCCCTATCCTGAGCGAGATCTGTCCAGTCCATACCATCCCATCCTGTATCTCTAAGATCCATTCTGATATTGTCCACCCACCTATGCCTTGGTCTTCCCTGTGGTCTCTTTCCTTCTGGCTTTCCCACCAATATCCTATACGCATTCGTCTCCCCCATTCATGCTACATGACCTGCCCACCTCATCCTCCTTGACTTAATCATTCTAATTGTACTTGGAGAAAAGAACAAGTTATGAGGCTCCTCATTATGCAGTTCATTTTCATAACATAATGGTTTTTTACTGTGAGGAGTTGTTACCCTCATGCCCAACCCTCAAGCTGGAGGGCCACCCCTTGTCGGCTATCCGTGACTGCTTATTCAACATATTCACAGCTTCCCTCCAAAACTGGAGGGCATCTTCTCCATCCACAACCTGAGGACGTGCCATGCCGTGGTGACAGGGACCCACCTAACACTAAAGGTTTTATGGGAGATTTAATTTTGGTCAATATTAGTCAAGTGTTATTCTTATTTTAATGAAACTCAAGTCAATTTATGTCAAATTTCATGAAAATGGTTTGGTATACAAAAAAATTTATGTAGGTGGTTCAAGGTTAGTGTAGACTTTATTATTTTCCTGAAGATGTTGGCACAAGAAAATTAAAACTTTTGTGGATGGTTGGTGGAAACACTGCACTCACTGCCTGGCTAGTTCTGCATGTTAGAGCTAATACAAGATGGCATCAGACCTCGTCACTCCTAGTGTAGAACAGTGCTGTGTCATCAAATTCCTGGTGAAAGAGAGTCAAACTAGCGGAAATTCTCTGGTTTAAATACACAGTATGGGGAAGGGAGTCTGTCACGTGTGTCTTTAATTGATGCAGTACATTTTCTAAAGTCTGTAAAGAAGTCTTGAATGTTCAAGACACAGCTTTCAGCTGGAAAGTTCATTGTGTATTTTGAAATTCAGAAGGTGTGATTTATGTTGATTTTCTTCCTTATGGCATAACAATTAATGCACAGTATTAACTTGCTTCACAATGGTGTGCTCCAAGTGATTCAGAAGAAAAGTCCCTTTGAACTGTCAGAGAATTGTGTAACAACATTCGTCCACATATGGAAAATTTGAAGGTGACATTGGCAACAGTGGGCTGGGCAGTCATGAACCGTCCTCCTTACAGCCCTGATAAAGCCACCAGTGACTTTCATTTATTTGGACCAGTGAAGATGCATGTAGGAAGACAGAAATTTCAGACTTATGATGAACTCAGATGTGGTGTCCTGAACCAGCTATACAATCAGGATAAAAACCTTTTGTGCTGCTGGCATGAGTAACTTAACTAGGATGTTGGAAAACTGTGTTAGTGTAACGGGAGAACGTATTGAAGAGGAGTGAGTTTGGTGATTGTGGCATGTATATTCTAATTGTAAAAGAATAAAGCCCACATCAACCTTGTCCCACCCTTGTATATGACATACAGTAATAAGATGTTGCTCAGATATATGACTTGCTGTGTCCCCCCAGGTTTCTTAAAGTTTGTTCACAAAGGGAATCAATCACCATGGTTCTCGAGCCATAATTATTTTATCATTTTCATTGGAGCTACATTGTGAGAAAAGGTGAGTTTTAATTCCTGTAGTATGTCATAGTTAATTGACATCTTCTTTGTTCCATCACCATTGTCACAATTGAAGCTTGTGCTGTTAGTATTTTGTCCTCTTTTTTTTTTTCCTTTTCTTTTTCTTGGGAATTACCGAGTTCTCTTGTGTCATATAAGTTAGATTTGATCATTCTGTAATTTGATTGAACTCATGGTCTTAGCTGATTCATGAGTGATTTGGTAGCATTTTATACTTCCAGGTCCTGGTCATTCCCCCTGATCTTACTAATTACTACGCACAGGCAGTAGAATGCCATGTCATCAGGAGGATCAGTTTAACAGTTGCTCCAAGTATGGATGTCATATTGAGTGTGGATTCGGTTGACAGAGAAAGGTAAAGAGTTATAAATTAATTTTTTGTGCATGTGTGTGTGTGTGTTTGAGAGAGAGAGACATTTTAATCAGTTGTAGACTGTTGTCTTTTGGGTAACGATGCCATGTAGTTGCATAAATAGTTACCAGTCTTTCAGAGAAACGTGCTATCAAAAGTGCTAAACCTCCATTACATTGGAGGGTACTAACTACTGAATTTTCTAAATCTATTGATATTTTCAGCAGGATAGATCATCTTCTGAAAAGACCTTCTGCATTCTTCTGCAGCCCCTGATAAGTGTTCCTCTTGTATCTGTGTCCACTCCTTCCTTCCTTTCTCATACACATTTCATCAGTTGATCTCCCACCTTCTCCTTGGTCTCTAGTGGTTGTTTATTAAACACTTTATTTTTTTACACTGATCTGTATTAGGGAGAATCTGAGTTCTAATCTCTGCCAAGAAACTGGCCCGCCTAACTTAGGTTTTGTCATTTTTCTGTAGTCCCTGCAGACATATTGGTACAATACCTTAAGTGCATCCCCTACTTTTGCATTTTCCCCACTTAGCCATTCAGTCATTTTGCCATTGAATTCTGCATAACCCATTTAGTTGTCAGAAGTCATTAAATGAACCAGAAAACAAACCACTGGTCAAAAGAATAGCATATCAAATGTTATCAAGGTTCTTTTTCCTTGCAGGCTCTTTGTGACTGTGTTCAGTATGGAAGGCAGGACACTAGAACTATTGGAAGACACTGATCTTTCTGAAGTAGATCCAGTATGTCCACTACCTGTGATGTCTAAAAAAATGAAGGTGTGGGTATCACATGTTGAAGGACCAGATTGTTTTTGGCTGCAGAGAATTTGTGATTCCAATACTTTAGCTGAACTGCTTGAGAAAATGTACGTATTCTACATGGCTGAAGGGAAGGACATTGATCTAGAGGTTTCTGTGGGTAAGCTCTGTGCTGCCAAGTCAGTAATTGATGATCAATGGTACAGGGGAAAAATTGTGTCTGTGGATGTCAGTAATGGAACTTGCACTGTACTCTTCATTGACTATGGGAACTCAGAAACAATTCCTGCTGCCCATGTAAAGGAACTGGATGCTTCTCTGTTCATTCCAAATGCACAGGCCATATGCGCTGCATTGGCAGTGAAATTTGATGACTATGAACAGATCACATCAGAACTGTTAAAAATGACATCAGAGAAAGAACTCACTGCAGTATTTGGCCTGAAGAATGATAACAAATGGCTAGTTGATTTATTTGTAGAAGGGGCAAGTGTCAGCAAAAAACTGGTGGATTTGGGTCTTGTTAAGGAATTTGAAGCCCATCTGTTTCGATCAAAACTAAAGGTTGGAACTTGCCATGCTGTCTTTGTGTCACACATTGACTCGCCATACAGCTTCTGGGTGCAGAAAGCTGAGGACTCACAAGAAATATTGACATTTCAGAGGGAGTTGCAAATGGCTGCCAACATGATGGAAAACATGACATCAGTCCCACCAGTTGGAACAATGTGCATTTGTATGTTTGCTGAAGCCTGGTACAGGGCTGTTGTACTTGAAAGCGACTTGTTAGTAACAGTGCGTTTCATTGATTATGGAAATGTTGACGATATTGATATTGCTTCTGAACACCTGAAGGCTCTTCCAGAGAAACTACAAGACATTCCAGCATATGCAGCGGAATGCACCCTGCTTGGGAATAATGAAGGGTATAAGTTTCATGTTGGGGCTGCTGAGAAGATGGAAGTTCTAGTGGGAAGCACTGAGAAGCCAGCAACCATTCATATAATTAGTGATGAGGGGATAAAGTATGTGGAACTTATATCAGCTGATGGAAAAAATGTCTTGATGGATCTTGTTAATGAAGGACTGTCCACAAAAACCGAACTTGTAAAAGAAAATTGTGTTACTGATACACAGGCCACTGATATTTCTGCTGTAGGTGTACAGATTACAGATGAAATTACTACTGGAGAAACACAAGTCACAGAAGAAGTTTCTGTTTATGTAGATACAAAAGCTAGATCAGACACATCTACTGTATTTGTCAGTTACATTAACTCCCCATCAGAATTTTGGATTCAGTACAAATATGATACAAGTAAGATAGAGGAGACAGAAAACAGACTACTTGAAATTGAAAGTTTTCCAGTATTGGATGAAATTGTTGAAGGTGCATTGTGTGCAGCAGAATTTACAGATGGACAGTGGTACAGAGCCAAAGTAATACAGGTCACGAATGAAATTGAAGTATTTTTCTTGGATTATGGAAACCATTCAGTTGCAGCAGAATTAAGGAGTTTGCCTGAGGATTTGTTAAGAGTTCCTCAATTGGCAAAACGTTGTTCATTGCGTTTGCCTCATGGCGTGACAGAATGGTCCACAGCAGCGAAAGAAATGTTTATTAAAAGGGCTGGAGGTGGCTGTACACAGTTCCAAGTTGACATTTTGGAAGAAGGGAATTGTGCTGTTGTGAGTTTACTACAAGGGGGACAGAAAATAGAAGATGAGTTATTGAATTTGTGTCTGACTGTGGACAAAGTTTCTACCACATGTGTGAACCCTCCTAAATTATATGCACGTATCAGTCATGCAGTTTCACCATCTGAATTTTGGATTCAGTTTGAGAATTCATTGTCCCGTTTAGACGAAATCAGCAGTAAACTTGCTGAATCAGAGGGATTTCCCACTCTCAGTGACACTGAAGAAGGTGTCTTGTGTGTCGCCCAGTTCCCTGATGATGGCAGATGGTATCGAGCATCCATCATATCCCATGCTGATGACTGTTTTGTGGTCATGTATGTAGACTTTGGAAATACAGCCACCTCCACAGAACTTCGAGAACTTCCTGATGAACTTAAAGATATCCCTCCACTGGCAAAGAAATGCTCTCTGTCTTTTTCTACTGATGTACTGCAATTTACAGAAACTGTAAGTGGTCTTTTTATGGATATTGTAGGTGAGGAAGGTGAAGTTTTTGAAATTGAGATTATCAGAGATGGAGATCCAGCTCTTGTAAGTATGTGGCACAATGGACAGAAGGTGGAGGATGAACTTCTGAAGATTGGTAAAACAGAGGAGAAGAATATATCAGCAGTTGAAAGTGAAACATTTGTGGAAACATGGCCACATGGGACAGGGGAAGACAGTGTTTATAATGAAGGGAAAGTAATGGATAGAGAGATCGAAGATTCAAATGAAAATAAAAATGTAAAACAGGAAGAGGTAAAAGATGGATGCAACACTGATCATTCTGAAGGTTTTAATGAACTGGATATGTCAGAAAAATATGGTGACGGAACTGAGAAAATAACACAAGATGAAATTGGGCAAGTTGAAATAGAAGAAAAGGAGGAACATGTTGCCAAAAATGTTGCAAATTTTGGTGAACAGGATGAAGAAAATATTTTGGATCAGAATGTGAGTGAAGATATTGTGTGTAATGTACAGAACATACCACTTGATATAAAAGAAGATCACATTGAAGATACTGCTTGTAGTGATTTCACATCAGAAAAAGCTGGAGAAAATAAAGAGACAATGTTAACAGAGAACACCAAAACAAATTGTATTGAAGAGTGCACAAAGGATGTTGCATTACATTCTACTATATGTGTGAATCCACCTAAATTATATGCATGTATCAGTCATGTGGTCTCACCATCTGAATTTTGGATTCAGTTTGAGAATTCATTGTCCCGTTTAGACGAAATCAGCAGTAAACTTGCTGAATCAGAGGGATTTCCCACTCTCAGTGACACTGAAGAAGGTGTCTTGTGTGTCGCCCAGTTCCCTGATGATGGCAGATGGTATCGAGCATCCATCATATCCCATGCTGATGACTGTTTTGTGGTCATGTATGTAGACTTTGGAAATACAGCCACCTCCACAGAACTTCGAGAACTTCCTGATGAACTTAAAGATATCCCTCCACTGGCAAAGAAATGCTCTCTGTCTTTTTCTACTGATGTACTGCAATTTACAGAAACTGTAAGTGGTCTTTTTATGGATATTGTAGGTGAGGAAGGTGAAGTTTTTGAAATTGAGATTATCAGAGATGGAGATCCAGCTCTTGTAAGTATGTGGCACAATGGACAGAAGGTGGAGGATGAACTTCTGAAGATTGGTAAAACAGAGGAGAAGAATATATCAGCAGTTGAAAGTGAAACATTTGTGGAAACATGGCCACATGGGACAGGGGAAGACAGTGTTTATAATGAAGGGAAAGTAATGGATAGAGAGATCGAAGAGTCAAATGAAAATAAAAATGTAAAACAGGAAAAGGTAAAAGAGGGATGCAACACTGATCATTCTGAAGGTTTTAATGAACTGGATATGTCAGAAAAATATGGTGACGGAACTGAGAAAATAACACAAGATGAAATTGGGCAAGTTGAAATAGAAGAAAAGGAGGAACATGTTGCCAAAAATGTTGCAAATTTTGGTGAACAGGATGAAGAAAATATTTTGGATCAGAATGTGAGTGAAGATATTGTGTGTAATGTACAGAACATACCACTTGATATAAAAGAATATCACATTGAAGATACTGCTTGTAGTGATTTCACATCAGAAAAAGCTGGAGAAAATAAGGAGACAGTGTCAACAGAGAACACCAAAACAAACTGTATTGAAGAGTGCACAAAAGGTGTTGCATCAGATTCTGCTACATGTGTGAATCCACCTAAATTATATGCATGTATCAGTCATGTGGTCTCACCATCTGAATTTTGGATTCAGTTTGAGAATTCATTGTCCCATTTAGACGAAATCAGCAATAAACTTGCTGAATCAGAGGGATTTCCCACTCTCAGTGACACTGAAGAAAGTGTCTTGTGTGTCGCCCAGTTCCATGATGATGGCCGGTGGTATCGAGCATCCATCATATCCCATGCCGATGACTGTTTTATGGTCATGTATGTAGACTTTGGAAATACAGCCACCTCCACAGAACTTCGAGAACTTCCTGATGAACTTAAAGATATCCCTCCACTGGCAAAGAAATGCTCTCTGTCTTTTTCTACTGATGTACTGCAATTTACAGAAACTGTAAGTGGTCTTTTTATGGATATTGTAGGTGAGGAAGGTGAAGTTTTTGAAATTGAGATTATCAGAGATGGAGATCCAGCTCTTGTAAGTATGTGGCACAATGGACAGAAGGTGGAGGATGAACTTCTGAAGGTTGGTAAAACAGATGAGAAGAAGAAAATATCAGCAGTTGAAAGTGAAACTTTTGTGGAAACATGGCCACATGGGACAGGGGAAGACAGTGTTTATAATGAAGGGAAAGTAATGGATAGAGAGATCGAAGAGTCAAATGAAAATAAAAATGTAAAACAGGAAAAGGTAAAAGAGGGATGCAACACTGATCATTCTGAAGGTTTTAATGAACTGGATATGTCAGAAAAATATGGTGACGGAACTGAGAAAATAACACAAGATGAAATTGGGCAAGTTGAAATAGAAGAAAAGGAGGAACATGTTGCCAAAAATGTTGCAAATTTTGGTGAACAGGATGAAGAAAATATTTTGGATCAGAATGTGAGTGAAGATATTGTGTGTAATGTACAGAACATACCACTTGATATAAAAGATCAGATTGAGGATAAAGCTGGTAGTGATTTCACATCACAAGAAACTGAAGATTGTAAAGCGTCTGTGTCAAGAGAGAATATTAAAATAAGCTCTGTCAAAGAAAGTGCAGAACATGTATCAGACTCTCTTAATATTTGTACAGGTATAAAGACCGATGATGAAAGTGGAGAAAGTCAAGTAACTACAAAGAATTCCCATGCAAAGCCTCTGTCATTGCATCTTCAGAGAACTCATCACACAGAAGAACTTGTTAAGGAAATAAATATAGAAATGAAAACTCCCAGTGAAGCATTAAGTACAACATTTGCGACTCAGTGCTCTGAAAGAATTGTGCCACCCACTGTCAGCATAGAAATATCTAAAGAAGAATTGCTTGATGCAGTGCTGAACAGGTCTGCTTCTCTTGAATTAATGCATGAAAAAGAAATTGTGCCAGGTTACATTTTGCAAAGTAGGCTCATTGATACTGAAAAAGATGGAACAAAAAGTGCACCATCAACACCATTGGTCTCAAGTTCTGAGAAATTCTTACAAAGAGTGTCATTGAGTGATGAATTTTGGCAAAGGACCCCATCCAACCCAAAATTAACTCATAATGATAGGATTGTTCCTGGAAGTATTTCCAGAAGGGAACCCCATGAAGAAATTCGTCCATTTACACCGAAGTTGCCTCATGCTGAGAAAATTGTGCCCGGTAGCATTTCAAGAGGTATTTCTGATGAGGAATTGGGATCTATGCAGCTGCAAGCAGCAGTTGTGGAGGCACATGAGCATAATGAGGATGAAGCAGCTGAAACACCTATTGCTGAAGAAGCTGATGCTGAATCTGTTTCTGCATTGTAACTATGAGAAGCGCAGCACTAGTTTGTAGAGAAGATTCTACTGATGAAAATGCAGCTTGAACAGTGGCAGAGTATTTATATGTATTTTGTTACAGGGTTGAGATATTGATGTTCAAGCTGTGAAGGTGCTGTTAGGGAGGGTGAAAGCCAGAATTATTTTTAGACAATCCATGGCATGTTTTTGTTTAATTTCCATATCTGATTATATAGATTGGAAATCTGTCCCAAGAGATTTGGTTTGTTGAAGATATCAAGACCTACGGGTACAAAATAGAGGGCACTGATTGAACCATGTCAGCAATAGTATATTCAGGATTTACTTAAGAGAAGGGAGTGTGTTTTGAGGAATCAGTGAGATAAAACAGTGTTTCAAAAGAAAAATCATTAATTTGTTACAGTCTTTGGCATTTTGGGGTGTTGAACCATGTGAATTCATCATATACATATGTATATATGGACGTAAGTTAGTATTTAAGTTACCAGCAAAGCTAAAATTGTATGTTGATTGTTAGAGTTTTTCTCACCCCTCCCGTCCCCTCTGGGGGTGGGGAGCCTTCAGAGTCTGTTGGTTTTTACATCACGGCATGAATTATATCAACAGAAATGTGTCAGACTACTTCTGGCTGCTGAGATACCATATTTTAGAGTTCCTAAAATTAATTGTTAGACTGCTTACTATTTGAATGGTATATGCATTTTGTAATAATAATGTCACGTGTTGGGTATATATAACATGACAAATAACTTTACGCCTTATTTGATATAGCGAATTTATTGCACATTCGCTCTTACAATCACACAATTTACAGATCCACAATTACTGCTATCTGCAGTATCACAAATACTACACTGCAAATGCCAGAATACAACTGACTGGTTGCTGGCTAACTCGTTACTCTCCGCTGGCTAAATGGAGAACTGTTGATCACACACTGGCTATGAATAGTCTTCCCTGCTCCGTATCTAGCCTTGTTCCAGACAACTCAGAAAACAGCCATGCAATAGGCACCATTGTTGTCTGGTGCTGTGTTGCTAGCAACGTTGTCCGGAGTTGTTTACTGCTGCCTAGCAACCGTGGTATCCCTTGGTGACGTCACCGCTGGCGGGGTAGGCAAAGGAGTGTTGACTTGCCTGTTACATTAGTAATGACAGCGATCTGATAGCGTTATATAACCGCTGGCGGGGAGTGGGGTGTCCCTGCATAGCTCAACACATCACACTGCTCCCTCCTTAAGGCTGTTCGTCCTGAATAGCCTAACGGTGCACCCCCGTTCCTTTGTCTTTGGAGGCTGTTCTTGCAGCATCTTCTGTTTCGGCTTCTCTTCAGTGGTCCACAATTTCTTTGGGTCCAAGATTTCCTGAGGATGTTCCTCTTGTGCCATGCCACTGTTGCACGGCGGGACAACTTCCTGCAGGCAGCGGCCAACTTCATCTGGGGTCCACGACTTCCCCATGTCGGATTCTTCATATTTCGCTGATGTCGGTCCCTGCGCCTTTTCTTCTTTGGTTCTCCGACCAGCATTACTTCAGCGTCTTGTACGGGTACCTCTCGTAGTTCTGCCGCCTCAGGTTTCCTGTTCGCTGAGGCTGGCTCTTCTTCTAGACGTGCCTCCATTGTTTCTCGGCAGGCCATCGTCACTCCGACCAGTATCACTATGGGGACCTCCTCTTGTTGTGCCACCACACAGCACAACACGTCACAATAATAATAATAATTAAAAAAGAAATTTGTAAAATGAAAAACGACTACAAATTTATTACTGATTTACACCATACTCAGGAAGGCTATGAACTAGCTGTGGCATGTCTTTGAATGCACCATGCCACTGCAATGTCAGTCAACACAGTACATGCTCTTAGTAGCAAATATCCTAGTTTTCTCTGGTGACCAATTCTGTATGTACATCGAAAGATGTCCAATCTGCCCTTAGTTTTGTACGTGTAGGAACAATAAAGAATGAGACAGTTACAGATTTCCAGGGCATATTAGTCAGTAAGTAGACATCTTTTTATGATTAGGATTTCATAAAAAGCAGAAGACCGTGTGCAAACTTAATGCCCAGAACATCCAGCATCACAAAACTTTGTGCAGTCTTGCACAGAATGCTGATGTTGACATGATTCATGAACGTGCTATGTTTTGTTTTAATACTTAAATAGCAGTAATAGCATTGAATGTAAAAGATTGTATGCTATTTTTACTTCTTTTATACACATTGATATTCATTACGTAGTTTACTTCAACTAAATTTGATTATGTCATGTAAAAATAAAATATTTTATTTTTAAGATTATGCTTGTTTTTAGTTTTTCAGGTTGATTAGAGTGAATAAATTTGTTCACTTATACACATGAACTTTCAGTTGTCATTTACTCCCATGGGCGCTCTATGTATATCTTCTTTCGCCTGGAAATTATACACATCATCCACAAGAGCTGTCATACCCTAGTGTAGTATTCATTGACATGCTTGGTAACCTGAAGGTGTCAGACATGGACATTCAACATCACATCCAGAATAATTTGGATTCTTAAAAGAAGTTGTGCAACAGTTTGTAACATTCTTGCTTGAAATCAGAATTTAATCACTTTAATTTTATTTGAAATTTCATTTTAAACATATTCATGGTGATTCATTTTGTGACCGTGACTAATGATCACTTATATGGCTTAACTCCTGTTATCTGAAAACGTTTTACGGTAAATATATGATGGAAGTAAAAATGTTGAATTGTATTCACACACAACAGTACACACTGTGTGCAGTACACAACACACAGCACATAGGAAACAGCTAACCATAAGCCATACAACCTCAAGCTGACATCTCCCATCTTCGGGATGAATTAACAAGGAGGAGTTTAACATTTTACATCATATGTTTTAAATTTTTAAATATTTTAACATTGGCGTTTTAACTTGAGGGCAGTTTCGGATGGAATGTGAAAATTGATAGTGCATTCAACAATCCTAGCAAGTGTTGTGCTTTTACACGTCGACATATTGTAGCAGCGTCCACGCAGCAAACATAACTGTGTACATCTTAAACAACAACAGTGTTTTCATGATTGTACTATGTGCCTCTGATGATGGTTGTATTTAAACCGAAACATGTAAGGCAGAAGTGATAAAGAAGTGACCTACAAATTGTTACACTCGACGGACTTTCTATTGACTTTGTGATTGATAGTGTAACGGACCAAAAATGAAACAATTCAAAATGTTGAATTGTATTATTTATGTGCTAAAGAATATGAAGAGGTGGATGTTTGGATATGGTAATGAATGTCTTGATTAAGCATTTGAGATGACAGTAAACCCATTAACAAACCAAGTAATCTATGGAGATCATCTTTACTGGCAATACAGCCCTGTGTCAATCATGGCATGCTTCACAGTTTTGTTTCCATTCACTATATAGAGTGAAACCCCCATTTAAGATTTCTTTTGTGACCACTGGATTTTACATAGAATTACTGGGTTTTTGGACCTTTTCCATCGTCCAGAATTCTAGGTAATAAAGGAAGCAACATTTCGGAAACTGGATCTGTTTCCATCTTCAGGTGTGAAAGGAAGACACCTATTCAGGTGGGCCTCTTGGAAAGAGCTAATCTCAATCCAGTGAGATTGAGATATTATAATATTCAGGTTGTTTTCATTTTGTTAGTAGATTTAGTTACCTGATAATTGTACATTGACCATTTAGTTTCTTTAATCACACTTGATAATAATTTGCAGTACTGTTTATAGTACTTTTAAGTGGACATCATTACTGTCCCAAGTACGTAAATAAAGCTCTTCCATGCTGACATGAAAGAATTATATTTAGTTTTGATATTATTTTTTCTTTCAGAAAATTAGAGTAGAATATGCTTAGACCAGTATTGAGAAAGGAGTTTAATATTATATCAACATCCTGATCAACAAGAATATTGTCTCCAAGTTTCATAACTTAATTGACTCAAATTGATTGATACACGACTTTTTTTATTGCTAATTGGGTGGGCCAAAGTCCCTTGTACTGTCGCCACTTCTGGTCTATTATACCGGCCCCAGATGATAGGTGAGGGTGATTTTGGAGCAATTGGTGGAATGAAGATTGGCAGGGGAAACCAAAGTACTCTCAGAAAACTTGCCCCAACGCCGCTTTGTCCACCACAAATCCCACTTGACCAGACCCGGGCCACCGCGGTGGGAAGACAGCGACTAACCACTTGAGCTATGGCGCGCCTTTTCCATACAGGACTTACTAAATTTCCTTACAGATTGGGTGCAACTATTGTGTGTTTGTAAGTTAATGTGATTTATGTATATAATCTCACCACCATGATCGGTCAGTCAACAAGTAGACTTATAATTTCCCCTTCTGTTAATATCAGTAAAAATATTAAGTGCAGAGATTGAATTATTTTGGATTCTAGTAGGAAAATGCACTGTACTAAAGAGGTTAAAAGAAGATAAGAAGGTGTGTTGTTTTTTCCTATTATTGTTAACAAGATTTTACGTTAATATCGCCACAGAAAATAAATTCTAGATTCAGCCATTTCTTCTTGGTTAACTTGTTATGGATTATTTTTTCTTCCTCGTAGGGCAGCGAAACATATATAATTGTGCGAAATATTTCGTGACTATTGATTTAGTCAATTTGTGGACAACTGGCCTCTGGTGCATCGTGGTGCATCATTTGAAACTGAACACAGAACTTTTCATCCACAGGGTTGCCTACGTAAAGTCTGAAGCGGTCTGACCAACACCCTGGTTGCAGGACTTGCGGTACCGGAACTACCACATTTCAGACGTTTTTCAGACAGTGGAAGTTTTTATGTGCATCAGAATTTTTAAATTATAACTGAAACGGTGCTGCATATTTTGTTAGAACGAATGTCATAACCATTTTTAAAAAAAAAGTTCATATGTAATATCACAAGAAAGTATTCGTAATATCAGTTGGATTCCACTGTTTGTCGATTTTATAACATTCAACAGTGATCTCTTCGTTATACGAAGTGAAAGTATTCGTGTCTGTATGTTGGTGAAGCGATGTTAATGAATTTTTGTCAGTAGTCTAAAAGAGAAGTTACCTGGTTTAAAAATATATCTATTTGAGACAAGTAAAATTCTTTTCTTAGATACAAGAATAAAATTTTCATAACCTCACATTTTCAAGATTGACGATACAGTAAATTATGCATAAAATTTGAGAGGTAGTGTAGCTGATTGTCAGAAAAGTACACCTCAATATCATCCTCAGCAATGAGCTCGTCGGGATTGTCCAAAATTGTGTTGTCATCCCCAGGACAGTGCGAGCCCCAGGCTTCAGAAATTAGCAGTAGTCCCACATCATCGTCAGCTGTTTTTAGTCGCCTGAAATTCGAACATTCAATTGATCAAAGTCAGTCACAGTTGGCACGTGATGGTCACAATAAAAGGCTGAAAATATTACGGAAGGAGCTGGACTACTTACAGAGTACTGCTTGGAAGTATCAGTCTATTGACAAGTACATTGGGCAGTAACATTTGTAACAATGATTTCGTTATTGAGGAAAGTTGGTAGTTATATTTTCGGCTCTCTAATAGACGAGCCGAAAATTGAAACTGCAGTTGATATAGATGCCATTATCACAGCAATAGAAACTGATGATGCACATGATTTTACCAAATCAGAAGTAACAGTTTCAGTAACAGACATTGTTGATACTTGTCAGCATCGTGTTGGTACAGTGACAGCACTGTATACAAATTATGGTATGATAGATGGAATATTATATTTTGACCTTCGTGATGCACCAGCTGAAGTGTTACGTGTAGGACATCGTGTGTTATATCTTGCCTTTCGTCGGCAGAAGAATGAAGAGTGGAAAGTTCGGAAAATATATTGTATACAGGATGAAAACTGGGAGAAGGACTATGAAGATGATGGTGAAGTTGAAGTTGAGGTTTCAAAGGCACAGCACAAAGACGTCATGAAGAGAAACATGGTGTGTCAGGTTACTCAGAGAGAAGGACGGGAAGTGATTTTGATCCCTGGAAAGATTCGCTGCAGTTTGGATGATGTGTCAGCTGACTTTACACCATTAGAAGGTATTATCTGATAGCTTTTTCCTAGCCTAGTTAACAAAAGACCGTGTTCAGTGTAATTAAGTATTAACTAACTTCATGGAGCTGAACCCTCCTTGAGAAGCAACCAGTTGTGCAGCTACTCAGACACTTCCCAAAATCATATGGAACCTGAAGGTTCATTACCATGTTTACAACAGCCCTCCACTGGTTCATATCCTGAGACAGATCTGACTAGCACCCCATCCGATCTCTCTAAGATCCATTTTAAAGTTATCCAGTCACCTATGGCTTGGTCTTCCTAGTGGTCTCTTTCTTTCTGGCTTTCCCACCAATATCCTGTATGCATTCCTTTTCTGCATTCATGCAAATTCCATGCCCATCTCATCTTCCTTGACTTGATCATTCTAATTATATTTGGAGAAGAGTACAAGTTATGAAGCTATTCTTTATGCAGTTTTCTCCAACCTCCTGTCACTTCAGCTCTCATCAGTCCAAATATTCTCCTCAGCACTCTGTTCTGAAACACCCTCAGTCTATGATGTTCCTCCCTTAATGTCAGAGCCCAAGTTTCACACCCTTACAGAACTGCAACCAAATTATAAGTGTAGTTTTGAATATTATAATATTTACATTTTTAGACAGCAAACTAGAAAATGAAAAGTTCTGAACTGAATGGTAGCCAGCGTTAACCAAATTCAGTCACCTCTTAATTTCTCCTGAATGAGATTTTAATTTGTTACTGTCATTCCAAAATATTTGAACTGTGCCACATTTTCTTGGGCCCTGTTACCGATCTTTATGTCATGATTTTGCCCTGTATTCTAGTGACAAGACAGCAACATATACTTAGTATTCTCTGCGTCTACTTCTAGACCAACCTCCTATTAATTTCAGTTAAAGTAATTAAGTGCTACATTTTTTAAAATTTGTTTGGAAGCAATTAATAGCATGTTAGGTGGGTCTCTTGGAGGCATATGGTAACATAGTTGGTTGAAGCATTATGCTACAAGCCAGAAGGTTGCTGGTTCAAGTCCTGATGTGGATTTTTCAGTTGACCTAATCCTTCCAGCTGCAATATGGCCCTGAAGTTGACTCAGCCTCTAACAGAAATGAGTACCATGAATCTTCCTGGGGCGTAAAGGACTGCCGGCATGTAAAGCTGACAATTTTACCACCGTCTGTGAGCCGATTGTCTAGAAAAAATGTGGGAGTCTCATCATCTCTCAACCCTGTGGGCCTCCACGGCCTGCTACATGAATAGCTTTACCTTAGCTTAGATGTGTCCCTTTCTGCTATGGAATGGCACGTTTTCAGGTTGCAAATGGAGGAGATGGCCTCCATATATGGAGGATATCTGCAAATATATCGTATAAGCAGTCATGGACAGCCGACAAGTTTTGGTCCTGCAGCTCCCTTGGGTTCCACAAATTGGTGGGAAGTTCTTGAGTGGCTACACAATTTGTGGCTTCTCAAGAAGGGCTCAGCTCCATTAAGTTATTTAGTTAGTTAGTTATGAAAATAATTAACAACTGGATAAAATTGTGTGGCCATTGGTCCTAAGAATTACTGTAACTGTTGTTTTCTTGTGGTTTTTGAATTTGGTTATTTAACAGTGCTGTCAGTATTGAAGCAATTAGTGTTGATGACAGGATGATTAATGAATGTGGAGCAGTTGGTGGAATGAGAATTGGTAGCAGAAACCCATACCAGCGCCTCTTAATCCATCATAAATCCCACGTGATAACCTAGGATAATATCCAGGCTGCCATGGTGGGAAGTCAGCATTTCTCACGAGGTAGACAGTTGAATAACACTTCTTATGAAACTAACAACTGGGGCCATGCGGTAGTGTAGTTGGTTGAGGCACTATGCTACAAGCCAGAAAGTCACGGGTTCAAGTCCCAATGAGGTCATTGGATTTTTCAATTGACCTATTCCTTCCAGCTGCACTATGGCCCTGGGGTCGTCTCAGCCTCTAACAGAAATGAGTATCAGGAATATTCTTGGAATGTTCTTGGGGGTAAAGGGCGGCCGGTGCGTACGGCTGACAAACTTACCATAGTCTGTGAGCGTATTGTCTAGAAAATGTGGGAGCCTCAACATATCTCAACCCTGTGGGCCTTCACAGCCTGTTACAGGGATACCTCTACTTTACTTTATGAAACTAACAATTAAGAAATATGCTACACCAAATATAATATAATTTAGGATGTGTACATTGGAACCTGGTTTCCCATCTTGTGTCTGCCATCCTCGTGTGATTTCATATCATCTGTGTGAAAAAAATGTAGTGTTTGAAGATGAACGGGGTGGTATGCATTCCTACTCTTGTAGGACTGAACACACGACTCACCATAACAACTGAAATGTTGACACTGAACAAGCATGATGGTAGCAGATGTCTTTGAATAAGATGAGTTTTGCACAAGTGTGAAATGACCACTGCTGTATTGCTTAACTTTTCTTGTGCAACTGACAGTTGATTAATATTATCTTCATATGACAAGTGAATAATGTATCTTAACTGCAGTTTATATGAGTGGATTTAAAGGAACATGAACAACTGTGGCTGTTTGTGTCTGGATGAAAGTTAACAGTTCTAATTTAATTTAATTTTCTTGTTTATATCAGATAAAGTTACAGTTTATGCAAGGGAACACCAGTCTTGTATTTTAATCACCAGTTGTTATTAGACTGAAACCAATGTACATGTGATATCTCTCACGTGAAAAAACCAGTCAGATGATACCAGCTATGGGCAGAGCATTCATGTAAACCAGAATCTTCTATCACTGCATGTGGGCTATACTTACCTGACTATTTCTTTACAACATAATTACCAATATATTTGCCTATTTCATTCTCATAATATTTTGACACTGTTTCAGACAGACCTCTTTCATCATACTAAAGAAAGCTAATTAGTTTAATTTTATGTAACGCTTCTGTTAAGTGTAGTAAGCATGTATAAAATAGTATGCAGATATTGTAAGCAATTTAACTCTAGATTACAAAATGTAGGTGCATGGTAGAAGAGGCTTTACCTTGCTGTAAAAATGTTTTGTATTTTATGTTAATGTTAATAGATTTAAGGATTTTCATCTCGGTAGAACTTTAGCCCACATTTGTAGACTGCTTAGACCCATTTCATAAACTGAGCCATATGAAGGGGCACTTCCTTAATTATCCCCACATTTATACAGTAGTAAGAAGGTTTTACCTGAAGACGGACACAGAATCCAGTCTCTGGAACATTGTGTTTTAAAAAATAAACAGGACTGTAATTTTAGATCTTATTTAGTAAGTAGGGTAGTTAAATTTAATTATCTGATTACTTAATTTTTTTTACCGTTGCTTGAAATGTATGAATTTGCAATCTTTCTGATATTTAAGTAAGAATACATTGCCCTACTACTTGGCAGTTTGTTAATACTTCAATGCTAGAAAAGTTACTAATGTGCCAAGTTTCATAGATTTTTACAAATTAAATGTAATTAGTAGAACTCAGAAGTTAATATTTAGGACAGTTCATAGACATACAAATCAATGTTGATGGAGCAGCAATTAACCCTTTATATTGTATATGACATAAACACCGTCCCAAGTACAACAATTTATTGTAGTTCTTTTGTCTTGCTCTCTTCTATGCTACATGTTTTGGCCGCAAACAGCCATCATCAGATGTATACACTTACGTAGCTGTTACACTGCACTTAGTTTAAAACTTAAAACCACGAGTCTTCCCAATTGTTCTTTTCGTCGTTACTAACAGGTTTCGATTTATTAGAATCTACTTCGCTGATATCTGTCTGATTTGTGCATTATCTTTTTTACCTACACTCGTCAATTTTGATTATTATGAACTGGCACTTTTAAAATCTTCAGTTCTAATTTAAAAATTCTTTTAAAAATTAAAATTCTCAGGGTTACTCGCCCTATGTCTGTAGTGCTGCAGCTGCTACTTCTTGTTTTCAGCACTGTTATCTGTAATATACAAATATTCGTATTACTATCTTATGTACGTTATGTTTTCTTATGTGTGTATATTGTTATTTGTACCTACTCTGTGTAGGCTCCCTGTGTGCATGTCGCTGCTTATATTTACTACGTGTGCTGTCTGATGTATTGTGTGCTGTGTTTTATGTTGGTGAGTGTAGGAGGGTGATGGGTAGTGGGGAGAGGGAGGTACCGTTAGTCTATATAGATTTCATGTATCGTTTGAAATATGGGATTGTGTGTTTTTGTGCGTGTGTCATTAATGTGTAGGCCCTTCTTACTTATTTTATATATATGGTATTTTTCTAATGTATTCAAATGTCTACCCTTCTTTCCTGTTGTTACAATTTCCATTACATCTGTTATTGTTCCGTATGCATGTCCCATATTTAGTGTGTGATTTGAGTACCTGGAATTGCTATTATTATTTCTAATATCATGTATATGTTCTTTATATCCGGTGTTAAATGTTCGGCCCGTTTGCCCAATGTATTTCAGTGGGCAATCTACACATTTCATTTGGTATATGCCACTTTTATTGTATTTATCTAATTGTGGTTTTTGTTTGAGTATATTTTCTATTGTGTTTCATGTGCGGATTGCTACTTTTATCTGTGTGTCTTTGAAAAGTTTTGTAATTTTTGTTACTTCTTTTGTACTATATGTAAATATGGCCCACTTTGTTTTATATTGTCTTAATTCATCAGGTGACTGGGTGGTGATTACTGCTGTGGTTGAAGTGAATGAGGAGGTGTGTGATTTGGGTGGAGAAGTGCTGGATATAGAGAAAATAAGCCCCCTCCGTACTCAGATACTGACTGGTTGTGTAACACACTGGAATCAGAACAGTGATGGAGTTGTAGACCAAAATGTGTATTTCACTCGAGATTCATGTGAACCTGGATATATACCACGTCTGGGAGATAAAGTTGTGGTAGAAGCTATTGAGAGTGAACAAGGCATACTCACCTGGCGATCTCTGACTACTGTCCCGGCATTCATAGGAAGCCAAGAGTTGCAACTTCCATTTCAGATCCCTGACCAGTTGGAAACCCTTCTGCAGGAAAAGAGGGGGATTATTATTACAAAACGTTTGAATTTTGGTGTGTTGAATATGGGTGAGAAGAAAGAAATAGTGGCAGAAGTCACAAATACTGGATTGTGCAGTCATTATTTTGTACGAGGAACATTTCATTCGCGTCGTTCAGAATCTCAGTTTGTCCTCTATCAGCCAAGAGATGGAGAACTAGATGTGATTCATCCCAGCCAGACAGTACAATTTCATTTTGGTTGTAAAGGAAGGTTTATTGGTAGTTCTTCAGAACTGTTTGTGTTTACCTTCAGAGGTTTCAAGATTGGGCGTAACCTGCAGGTGGAGGTACAAGATCCATTGCATAAGTTCATAGTGCCAGTGCAGAATGGGAGGAAGTTTGATCGTGACAGTGACTGGCAGAAAGCTCTCCAAGCAAGGAATAAGCGAATGTTGATTTCTGGGGTTAGACCTACTAGAGCACCTGCTTTTGTACCTGTTCGACTGGGATCATTTCCAATTCCTGATCGGCTGTGGCAGGCAGTGGTAGGAAATGATGGGGAAAGACGAAGCATTGAAGATGTCAAATTTGCCATAGAAAATGTTGCCCCATATATTTTCTCAGATCTGAAGATATCAAATTACAGTGATCATTTCCACGGTCTCCTCTATTTGGAGGAGATTGAAACTGTATTAAATATGCAGAAGTATGACCTTGAAAGAGTTTGCTTCCGGATAGCAGGACCTGATAAAGAATTCCTAGCACTTGAGGTTCCAGGTCTGGCTGAAAGGAGGCCATCACTTCTCCGAGGTGACCGTGTTATAGCATCAAGTGTGGTGCCACAGGACAGTGCAGGTGAGCATAAGATTGTCTGCTGTTTGTTCATTCTTTCCTTGAAGTACAGGGAGGTTTTTAATGAACTTGAAGCGTTCATGGTTCCTCACTTCACTGCGACCAGCGCATGGAGAGCCGCGGAGCACACTTGAATTTTGCCAATGACTCAGTATGCCGATATTATTTTTTTTTATTGCTAGTGGGGTGGGACTAAGTCCCTTGTACTGCAGCCACTTCTGGCCTATTTACCAGCCCCAGATGATAGGTGAGGGTGATTCTGGAGAAAAGTACTCGGAGAAAACCTGCCCCAGCGCCACTTAATCCACCACAAATCCCACTTGACCAGACCCGGGCCTCCGTGGTGGGAAGCCAGCGACTAACCGCTTGAGCTATGGCGCGGCTCAGCATGCCAATAACATCTGGAATGAAGGGAAGTTCTTACCTTTGTTCACCAATCACAGGAGGTGTTGCAAATGCTGTCCCTCTGCATGTAAATATCTTTCAAAATTAATTATTTCAGCCAATTGAGCTATGGCGCGGCTCAGCATGCCGATAACATCTGGAATGAAGGGAAGTTCTTACCTTTGTTCACCAATCACAGGAGGTGTTGCAAATGCTGTCCCTCTGCATGTAAATATCTTTCAAAATTAATTTTTTTCATTATAAAACACACAACAATCTTTCTCACTTACAGCACTCGAGATACCAACTTTCACTGGATGGCATCAGCAGTTGTGTTGCTGTTCCTGCACTAGACTTCGACACTCCAGTCTCCTGAACTAGACGTTTCATTGATTTCCTAGGTGTATGTTCAAGTGTGGTCCATGTGTCGTCTAACTTTTCCTCAATAAGCACTCGGTGCTTGTGTTTTTCCTTGTCTATTAAGAGTCCCATTGTTCTAAGTTTATTCACCAAATTATGAATTGTTTGTCTGCTGGGAACTTTTTCATCATGAAATTTATGTTGAAATTTTCTCCAACACTTTCCAGAAGATCTGTATTTCACATAGGTGTCATACAGAAGTACACTTTGCTCTAAAGCATCATGAAGCATGTCGTGCCACACTGCTAACTATTAACTAGGAACAAATGGCTCATGGCATTGATAACTGCTGCCTACTGCTGACAAAATATAAACAAACTCCCATGCATTAACATAATGCCATATAGAGTTCTACAGGTTTATTTTCCTTCATTCCAAATGTTACCTGCCATCAAGCATGCTGAGTCATGTGTCCTGCAGCACATAGTGCACCAGTCGCCACGAAGAGTGGAGCCATGAACTCGTCAACGTGATTAAAATCGTCCCTGTACATAAATGATGGCATGAATTGTTAAATGGATTGGTGTAGTGTTAATGTTCTAGACTAGTGTCTGGGAGGTGCTCATTTAATATCTCAGCTGGAACATTCAGTATACAGACTAAGTTTCTTTTTTGTGTGTGATTTTCCTCAGTCCAGGCAAATGCTGGGATAGTGCCTTGAACCAAGTACTTTCCAGTTCTTCAGCCATCCTACATCTGTCACTGTATTGTCTGAATACTGATAGCATCATAAAATAACTCGCAAACAAAAATCAAAGAATACATGAATCCTCTTGATTATTTTACTTTCACATTCATGTTCAGAACCTTTGGGTTTTTGTTTTAATACATTCTTAAAGCATGTCCATACCATGCTGCTGTATTGTATTGTTCAGTAGAACTTCCTGTATGTGTGTTTCAGTAGAGCAGACAAATGGTTTAGGGTAGGATGGCAAGATAAAAGAAAGTATATTTTTGTACGTTAATATATATGGTGCTGTGTGGTTCAGCATTTCCAACTGATGTAGAAGGAGCTGGTTCCTCCTCTTGGGTAGATGCCTTGTACTTCTGAGACAAACAAACTTCTTGCCTTGCAATAAATTAAGGTTGTTACTCCCCTTTTCTAAACACAACAGAAGTGTGTTATAAAAGGAATTAGCTACTTGTTTGTTGCTATAGTAATCTTTGGGAGTTGGCATGGCACAGTTGGTATAGCAATGGGCTGGACAGCCCGCATTCAGTTCCCTGCAGTGTAAGATTTTTCTCTTCTCCACAGCCTCCAGACTGACCCTGGAGCCCACCCAACCTCCTATCTAATGGGTACTGGAGGCTCTTTTCCCAGGTTTGAAGTGGCAGGGGCATGAAGCTAACCACTCTCATCCATCTAGAGCCAAGGTCAAGGAAAGTGGAGCTGTACCTCCACTTCTCCATATGTCTCCATGGCATAGTGCTAAACTAATTAAGCAAGGATGTTACCTTTTTTAATAGTAATCTTAAAATCCCAATAATAGTGACAAACCTTCATTTGCAAAAATTTTCATCTCTTCCATTTTTTATTTTATTTAATAAGATATCCAAGTTCTTCAGCCACTTCACGGCCTGAAATATTGTCAGTTTGTATTCAATTATAATAGTGTAGCAAATTTTCAGTTGATTCTCCAAGAAGTAAAACCACACAATGGAAACTGGATCAATAAAAATTGACAGTGCAATTCATAGAACTGCATAGTCACTAGGCAATAGTTAGTTAGTGTGTGTCCGAATCATCAACACTTGACTCACCCAAGTACTATATATGAAATGGGTAAGAGAATGTAACTTCCAAATAAATTTGCACTATTGGAAAATATTGGACTATTTGGCATCCAACTTAATCTTTGTGACAATGTGACACCTTGCTCAAGAACAGGACGATCGAATTCAGAAGTGGATGTTTGGTCATCCTAGTTTAGGGAACAATGAGATATGTAGATTAAATTATACAGAATATTTATAATTGTGTTGAAATATTATTATAAGAAAAAGTTAATATCAGAGTGGACTCCAAATGTTCCATTTATGAGATAAGCAGTTGTGCATGGATGTTGATTAAAAGAAGGGATTTTGTGTAGCAGTATTTAATTTGACACCATAGTTCACATTATTGAGTTTCTCCTAATTATGGTTCTTTTGTCATAGTTTTGTGAACAGTTATAATTTGTTTTCAGATTTTCAGTTTGAAGGCTTCATTCACAAAGTATTCAGTACTGAAGTCTGGATCAAGTTCAGTTCTAACTTCCATTTATCATACAATGGAAGTGAATATAAGGTTTCATTTCACTTTTCCCGAACCCCAATGAGACGATGTCATGCAGCTGTAAACATGGCACTGAAGCATTTAGGGCCACAGATGTTGTTCCCTACAACAGTGAAAGTTCAGCCACCACAACTACACTTAGAGGAAACAGAGTCAGCCTGTACATCAGATGGGCATGTAAGCTCAGAAGACATGAAGAACTGTACAGCTTCAAATGAATGTTCCTTTGAATCATCTGTTTCTGGTGGAAGGAGGACCCCACCGAGATTACCAGTTGTTGAACGATTATTTGGTTTAAAAATGTCATCCAATTCTATTGATAGTAAGAATGAGGACAGCCAGCTGTCTTCTTGTCTTTCTGACATGCCAGCTAAGTGTCGCATGAATGCATTACATAATAGCTCTAAAATGTCGGAAGATACACAGTCTAGTGACTTGAAGCAGTATGTTAAATGTGAGGAAACCACAAAACCACACAAGCAAAAAAATGGTTTGTTGAAGGAGGCCAAAGTTCTGAATATACAGAAAAGGAAGATAAAGTGGTTTAACAGTAATTTGAATTTCCATCAAAAGGAAGCAGTGCACAACATATTGAAGGGAGAGGCTCGACCCTTACCCTACGTGATTTTTGGGCCCCCAGGGACTGGAAAAACAGTTACAATTATTGAAGCTGTCCTTCAAATATTAACCCTTCTACCAGACAGCAGGTGGGTCATAGCATTTTATTTATTAAATTTTTAAACCAAATGAGATGGCTCAACAATTACATGTCTCACTTGCATGTAAAAATCACTATATTCAGATCTTGATCAGGAGTTTGAAACCTTCCTTCAAACTGTTAGCTGTTTCTTTGTGTCCCATGAAGCATTTACTGGGAAATTCCTTTAAAATAGACCCCAGCAACTTCCTTCCATGTCATTTCCCGTTCATTGTTTACAGTTATTAATTTCAGTGAATCAAAAAAGGTTTGGTAATTGAGAATAATAAATTATGAGCAATGTAGGAGGAAGGGTGGTTGTCATCTGTTTTAAAATACTATCTTGTCTTTTACCCCAGTAGACTGAGGATAGCCACAGGAAAATCTATAGGGTAGGAGTCCCCAGGTGGGATTCAGATTTGATATCTCCAGAGTGCAAGTCAGATTTATTATCACTGTACACTTGATTTAATTGCTGTGTAGCATGTGCATTTTATAAGGCTTTATTAGATAAAGAAACAGTTACATTAGTAATATTCTGTGCATTGTGCCATCATATTTTACATTTTCAGTTGGCTTCTGTCTGCAAGAAAATGAATAAATTAGTAATTCTTTTTAATGTCCATTATTTATTGTCTATCAGTATTGCAACACTTGTTTATTCACTACTTAATTTTAATTTTAGTTTAACATTATACACTTTGACACTACATGTTTTGGCCCCAAATGGCCATCTTCAAGTGTCTTGATATGTTACAAGTATTTTATTAAATTATGTTGATGGACGATAAATAATGGACATTAAGTTGAACAATTGCAATGGGATGCTGAAATACTGAATCATAGTAATTCTTTATTGAAGGTTATGAAGATAATATGAAACTTGTCTCAAAATTGAAATGGAAATTACACATGACTGTACTGTCCTCAGTTTGGATATATCTTTGTTCATATTTGTGGGTCATATGTTTGTCAGCAAAGTGACTGACTATATAGTCTCAGAGTGCAGATCTCTGTTGGGAATTGTCTCTTCATTGTCATATCTAGGACTGTTTGCCTGGAGTTTAAATGACTGAAGCTTGAAATTACCCAGTCACCCTCTAATATCAAGGTCTAGAATGTATAGAGCTGCAGTTCTGCTCCCACCCTGCACTTTTATGGATTGTTGTTTAGGTGGAAATGCAGACTAACCTTTTATCCTATTCACAGGTTGCTGGTAGCAACTCCTTCTAACAGTTCAGCAGATCTTGTTGCTGAACGTTTGTTGGACTCTGGACTCCTGATCCCAGGCGACCTGGTCCGTCTTGTGAGCTATCATTGTATAGCAGAGGGAAAACTACCAAAGAAGTTGGTACCTTATTGTACCACTGGAGATACTGGGTTGCTGAGTAATGATGCTGGCAATCCAACCACAGTGGATGAGCCCCTGAGAACTTCATCCAGTGCCCAGACACTCGGAAGACACAGAGTAACTGTTGGTACTTGCATTGGCCTTGGACAGCTGTACAGCATGGGGTTTACACGAGGACATTTCACACATGTATTCATTGATGAAGCAGGACAAGCAACTGAACCTGAAATATTAGTGCCTTTGGGTTGGTAATATCATGGTTTTATATTGTGTAACTTTCTGGTCATGGTAGCCGAGCGGTCTAAGGCGTGCACTGTCTTTGCTCGCTTGGAAGCCGGGATTGTGGGTTCGAATCCCACTCAGGGCATGGATGTTTGTGTACAGGTAGAGGCCTTGCGATGAGCTGATCACCCGCCCAAGGAGTCCTACCTTTTGTCTAAGATCTAGAAAAACTGAAGTGAACGGAGAAGTTCATGGAGGTAGGCCTAGGCCCACTGGGACTGTAGTGCCAAGGAAAAAAAAAATATTGTGTAACTTACTATTTCTGTCATGATATTTTGGTTTGTTACTGCCCTTGTCAAGTATATGAACTGGGCTGCATTTTCAGACGATGTATTGGCAGTTCCGTTAGACCCAGATGATGGTGACATGCATTGTCACTTAACACTTTGCGCACCAGCAATTTAAATATTTAAATCACCCTGGGGACTGCCATTTTTTTTACCTACTACCGTAACTTGTGCACTGTTCACTTTAAAAATTAATATAAAATCTCCTAATTAATTTTATGAACTAAAAATTTTTGAGAACACTTACCAATGCTCCTAGAAGTGCTTGACGGCGTGATGTTTCTTGAAACATTCCCCTCTGTGAAGTGGAATTACACAAAACTTGCAAATGTAGACAGTCGTTCTCCTTTTCTTGTGAACTTCACAAACACGACATTGCCTAGAAGGATGCTTCCCCTTGAAATGTTCACTCTTCACAATTTTTGTGAGGGTATGTTTCCGCACAACACCCAAGAGTTGCCCAGGGTGGTCAAAAGGAGGCCTGCGTGGGGTGGGAGTAGATGGGCCCGGTCACACTAAGATTGTGTCTGCCGCCGGTTCTGCCGCCACCATGTGGTCTATAGCCCAGGCTTTTGCCACATTCAGCAGAAATGCCTTGTATTTCAATTTTGAATGAGGGTTTAGATTTTTGAAAACCAAAAATGAATTGAAAATGGCACATTTTATAAGGCACAAGGCAACTTTCTTTGTCCACTTTACTGTTTTCCAAGGAAGAGAATAATAGGCCAAGTACTGATCGGCTGTATCAACTCCCTTCATGAACATATTATACTCAGAAATACAAACAGGCTTCTTTACCTGTCCATGTCTCCTTTGAACATTAACCATGCTCGAATTGTGAATCGTGAAAATCATATTCACAACACGAGTATCCCTCCAGGACTGAAGAAGAATATCCCCCTTCCTCCTGAATGTGGTTTCACCACATTTCAGGGATTTACATTCCTCTTTCAGATCTGGAGGAAGGCCTCTGTTCACCCTAATTGTTCCACAAACACGTACTTTTCTCGAAAGTAGGTGTTCTGCAGTTGCCACACTGTTATAATAATTGTCTTGATAGACATGGTGATTTTGATCAAGATAGGGTTCCAAAACGGAAAGAATGGTTTCTTGTAATTTCTTTCCTTCGCCAGAATATTGTCTTGATAGACATGGTGACTTTGATCAAGATAGGGTTCCAAAACGGAAAGAATAGTTTCTTGTAATTTCTTTCCTTCGCCAGAATAAAATTCTAAATTTCCAATATAGTCTGAAGTGCTTTCAGTAACTACATGAACAAGTAGGCCATACTTTGTAAGTTTCCCAGGATTATATGTTCGCATATTGCACTACTCACTGACAGCTTGCTACTTACAGCTTGAAGAAATCATCATCATCACTGACACGACAGCCCTTTTGTTATTTCCTTTGTGAAATCACATTGGATCATTGAGGTAAAAACGGATAAGAAATGAAACGCCTTCGTCCAAATCTAACGTTTACTGGAGACTAACTTCATTCACAAACATTTACATGATACCAGAGGTACATTAACANAAAGAAAGTAGCAGTGGGTGTGGTACCAACTTATGAACAATATATATCACTAGATAAATATGGCCAACACTAGAACTATAGTATTACAACACCTCCCCTTGTTGGACATATTTTACAGTCAAAATCTATAATTACAATAACCAAAAGTAAAACAAGTTTACAATTCCACACCGAATTTCAAACCTATCTTTAAAGACAGCTCATTTATCTTTGGACCATTAGTAGCTTTAGTCAGCATATCAGCAGAATTAGTGCTTGAATCTACATACTGGATACTAATATCTCCATCATTAACATATTCTCTAATCTTATGTTGCCGCATTCTAAAATGCTTGTTGCGTTCAGTAATCTTATTCTTTGTGCACATATCATTTGCCTGTAAATTGTCTCCAAAGATTATACTAGGAGTAGATACTGCTACATTAATTTCTGACAGAAACTCTCTCATCCAAATAACTTCCTTGCTACACTCATATAATGCTATATACTCAGCTTCGTTGGTAGATGTGGCTACAATGTCTTGTTTCTTGGACTTCCAAGACACAGCTCCCTTTGACATCATGATAACATAACCCGCCACGGATTTACTGTCATGTACATCGTTAGCAAAATCAGAATCAGAATAAATTACTGGGTCAATTTCAGATTTTTCATAGGTCAGCCGGTATTTAATTGTATGTTTCAAGTATCTCATAATTCTCATCACCTCCAGCCATCTCCCTTTGGTCGGACAATGGCAAAACTTGCTGACTTGATTTGTTGAAAAAACAATATCTGGTCTAGTACAAGTGGCAATGTACTGCAACCTACCTACTGCTGCCTTGTACTGAATCTCATCAAAGGGCTTGTCACCATCGAGAAAATTGTTATAGTTTGGGTCCCTTGGAGTTACACATCCTTTACAATCAAGCATACCAAAAGTTTTCAGTGTTTCATTCACATAATTTTCTTGATGTATTTTAATTACATATCCATTGGGTCTATCCACATTAATACCTAAAAAATTTGACACAGGTCCCAAATCTTTAACGTTTAACCTTTGAGAAAGTTGTCTTTTGCAGTCATTCACATCCTTTCTAGTTCCACAAATAATCATATCATCGACATAAATAGCCACAATAATCCTGTCATTAAAGAAAACACATGGATCTTTAGTACACTGTTTCAATCCGAAACTGACAAAGATGAAAGTAATAGTATCATTCCAGTCCTTCCCAGATTGATGTAATCCATATATGCTTTTCAAAAGTAAACATACATCATCAGCATTACCCTCTTCAAACAGTTCGGGTTGGCGCATGTATACAATTTCTTTCAGAGTACTATTTAAATATGCACCTACAACGTCGACATGATCAACCTCCCATCCTCTATCAACAGACAAAGCCATTAGGATCCTAAAGGACGCTCGTCGCATTACTGGGCTATAGCTATCCCAGAAATCTATACCATAAACTTGATGGAAACCTTGGGCTACTAACCTGGCTTTATACTTAAAAGTGCCATCATCTTTCTTTCTCAGGCTAAATACCCACCGGGAACCTATAACATTAACATTCTTTGGTTTTCTCACAACTTCCCAAGTTTGATTTTTCTTCAAGTTCTCTATCTCTAATTTCATTGCTCCAATCCAGTGATCTCTATCAATTCTACTAAGCGCCTCCCCTACAGATTTAGGTTCTGCCAATGTAATTTCACCACAATCTACTTTAGCACAACATTCACATACAACTTTCTGCTTAATAGTTCTCGTGGTTCTACGGGGTTGTACATTTTCTTGGGGTACATTTTCCAAATTATCCACATTTATGTCATTACCTACTATACTAGGTTTATCATCATTCTCATCTACACTGGGATGTGACCCACCCACATTGTCTTCTGTATCAGTACAGTCTGAATCATATACATAAATGGGTGTTTCACTCTTAGTCTGAATCACAGTCTTTCGAATAATAGTCTTATAAGGAAAAACACTTTCTTCAAACCTAGCATCTCTGGATATGCGAATCTTCTTCTCATTTACACTATAGAGTCTATACCCTTTAGCGTCCCTAGCACTACCAAGGTAAATACATTCAACTGCTCTGCTGTCAAGTTTATCCTTGACATTTAAATTCAGATCCCAAGCCCTGCAGCCAAAAACTTTCATTTCTCTGGCCATATCTATAGTAAATGCCTTCTTAGACCAGACTTCAATGGGAATTCTTCCTTGGATTGCTTTAGATGGGCAACAATTTCTAATATTACTTGCGGTGAGTACCGCCTCTCCCCAGAAAGACTTCGGCAATCCTGCATTCTCTAATATGCAACGAACAATGCATAGCAAAGTTCTATTCAACCTCTCAGAGCGTCCATTTTGTTGTGGGGTTCTAGCTACACTTAACCTTCTGCCTATTCCTTTCTGATCCAAGTATTCATTAAATGCTGCACTGCAATATTCTCCCCCATTGTCTGATTGTAAAAATTTAATTCGTCTCTCTTGTAACACTTCAACTTTCTCTACATATCTTTGAAAGGCTGGTAATACATCACACTTGTTTGTTAAAACTTCAACAGTTGAGAATCTTGAGTTATCGTCTAAAAAGGTTACAAAATACTGTTTCCCACCCAAGCTTTGTGGTGTAATTTTTCCACATACATCTGAATGTATCACCTCCAAAACATTCTCTGCACTTTTGGAATTCTTACAAAATTTCTTTCTGTGTAACTTTCCTGTGATGCATACATCACAATTTAATTGACACTCATCTACACCACAAAACTTTGGTAGGGTTTTCATATGTCCAAATCTCTGATGCCATATGGCTTCACACTTCAGGGCCTTGGCCTTCATAAGATTCATTCTCTTTTCTATTTCCATCTTACTACTTATACTACACATCAAACTCTTGCCTGACACTGTATAATATTCACACTGAAGATGGTATAATTGATCTCCCTTTCCCCTGGCTACAAAAATGACAACTCCATCCTTTGAGACTGTTATTATCCCATTCTTTATATGTGCTTCACAACCCAACCTATCTAATTGTCTCATTGACAACAAGTTACAATCCAAACCAGGTACATATGAACAATTATTTAATCTTAACTTCTTGCCTCCATATTCATTTGTTACCTTTAAGGCTACACTCCCTTTACCCAGCAAAGGAGTACTCGTCTTCCTTTTCGCCAACATGACGTTTCCTCTTACACCCTCATTTAAGTTGTCGAATATATCCTTGTAGGGCGTCATGTGGTGGGATGCTCCTGAATCAAGAATCCACAGATCCCTGAACTCCTCGGACCTACTTCCCGCATGGGCTGTCATGACAAATTCCTCTGTTGTTTCAATGTGTTCCTCCGCTACTACAGCTATTTCTTCTTCTTCTTCATTCTCCTTTTGAACTTCTGCTATTTTGGCGGTTCCCCCATTATTCTTTAGGACATTAAACTTTGGACACAATTTAGCAATATGTCCAGCTTGATTGCATGCAAAACAAATTACATTCTTCTTTACATTTTGGTCACAATTGATCCCTTTACTTTGGTTTTTGAATTTTCCATCACGTTTTGGGTAATAATTATTATTCTTCTGGTACCTAGATTCTCTTCTAAGTAAAAAGGCTTTTTCTTCTTCGTTGTTCTCAAAATCTCTGTGAATTTTATCTTGTTTTTCTGTCAGGTATAATTTGCTAATTACCTCTTCTAAGGATGTTTTGTCCTCTTTACTTGAAAAGGATAACATGAGATTTTCATATTGTTTGGGTAACCCGCTGAAAATAAAACCAATATGTGCTCCTTCACTAAACGGTACATTAGCATTCTTCAACTTCAAAATTAAATTTTGTTTCCTCGTTAGGTACTCATTCATGCTTATTTCGTCAGTCTTTTTGGTCAAAGCTAATTCTTCAATCATCAAGGCAATATGGACCCATGTGTACTCACAGTTTCGCCTTTTCAGCTTTTGCCAAACTTCTGCAGCTGTAGTCAGATGTGCTATCGACGGTACATATTTATCTTCTATATTCTCGGTAATAAAGTTAAGTGCTTCAAGATTTGTTTGAATCTGACCTGGTGTCCAATCCTCTTCTACTCCATCATATCCGGGCTCCACGGCTTCCCATTGCTTCCTCTTTCTTAGGGTTAGCGTTACGCGATGTTTCCAGATTGTGTAGTTATCGTCATTTAAAGGTTCTATGCGTCTTCGGTAAACTTCTTCTGACATCTTGAAATATTATATCGTCTTATTTACTTCCTTTCTTCAAAATCCCATGCAGCACGTGGGACCGAGAAATGGCCGTCTTTGCCGTTTAGGTCCGTACCTTCACTTATCCTATTGTCTTCACTCGTCTTCTGAGTCTCCAATCCGTTTTATCGATGTCCGGCGCAGTGCTTGAAGACTCTGGGCCCATAACCTGTTATTTCCTTTGTGAAATCACATTGGATCATCGAGGTAAAAACGGATAAGAAATGAAACGCCTTCGTCCAAATCTAACGTTTACTGGAGACTAACTTCATTCACAAACATTTACAAGATACCAAAGGTACATTAACAAAAGAAGTAGCAGTGGGTGTGGTACCAACTTATGAACAATATATATCGCATGATAAATATGGCCAACACTACAACTATAGTACTACAACACCTTTGTGAGCCGTGGCCTTCCTCAGGATTGCTCACCATTCTTCTCCATTCGATGCTACATTCCTCCAGTTCTTTACATCCAAAATTCTTATGTCCTGCCACACACATTCTTCCCATCTTAGTCTTGGTCTTCCCACTCTCCTATTTCCTTCTGGTTTAGTATTAAGCATTTTCTTAATGGTTCTATTCTCGCTGGCACATATTATGTGTCCAGCCCATTCAAGCCTTTTCACCTTTATAAATCCAATAATGCCTGGTTCATTAAACAGTTTGAATGGCTCATGGTTATACCTCTTCCTCCATATTCCATTTTCTTCCACTGCTCCAAAGATATATCTCAAGATCCTCCTTTCAAATATACTTAACAGTCTTTCATCCGATCTTGACAGTGGCCAGGTCTCAGAGGCATAAGATAGCACTGATCTTATAAGTACTTTATACATCATAGTTTTGGTTCTCCTGGGTATTAATTGGGATTTCACGTGTTTCCTAAGGCCATGGAGACATTTATTTGCTGCAAGTACACGCTTTTTTATTTCATCACTGATATCATTTTTACAGTTAACTTCTGATCCAAGGTAAGTGAAACTACATACAACCTCAAATTTGTATGAGCCAATTTCAATATATGTAGGTCCATTAGCACGGTCTTTCTTGGTTACCGGCATGTACTTTGTTTTATTTTGGTTAATTTGTAGATTCATCTTTTTTGCTGCTCTTTCCAAATTAAGAAAAGCTTCTTTCATAGATTTTTGTGTTCTACCAATTATATCAATATCATCTGCAAATGCCAAAATTTGAACTGACTTGTAGAATATAGTTCCCCTTGTGTTGATGCCTGCATCTCTAACTCCCTTCTCTAATGCTATATTGAACAAGAGGCAGGCTAGGGAATCCCCCTGTCAAACTCCATTTCTAGTTATTATAGGGCTGGACAACACATTCTGAATCTTAATTTGGCATTGGGTCTCTCTCATGGTGGCTCTGACTAAGGCGATTAACTTCCGTGGAATGTGCATCTCTTCCATTGCCAGAAAAAGACTATATCTATGGAGTCAGTCTGATCGGAAGTCAATGAAAATATGATGTGTTTCAATTTGGAATTCATTACACTTTTCAAGGACCTGTCGAATAGTGAAAATCTGATCGTTAGTTGATCTTCCTTGACGAAACCCACATTGGTAATCCCCAATTATGCCTTCCACAAAGGGAGAGAGTCTGTTAAATAGAATGCTGGAAAATATTTTATATGCTATGCACAACAGACTAATTCCTCTATAATTATAGCATACCATGACATCGCCTTTCTTATGGACAGGGCATACGATACTTAGGTTCCATTCCTCTGGGATTATTTCAGTTATCCATATCTTAACTATTAGCTGATGTAAGTGCTTGGCATATTCTGGGCCTTCAAATTTCACTAATTCTGCCGTGATGAGATCCATTCCTGGAGCTTTATTATTTTTCAATTTTTTGATAGCTTGTTCTGCTTCTTTTATGGTCGGTGCTGGCTCTTCAGTCTCAAAATTTCCTTGATTTCGGGCTTGAAGAAATAAAGGCATTTATTTTCCATTGCAGGGGCATACAGTTACAGCGAGGTCACATAACTGATTAGTCAGCAAACATTCCAGAAGCTTAACAGGCAGCTGCGTGCAAGCTGGGTGGTGCCAGAGTGTTGTATAATGTGTTGCAACTTATCATGTTCTAAAAACGTATTAATACGCGACTGGTCCGCCACACTTAAAAGCGAAAAATGCATTAATGCATGCGCGGTCTGCAAAGTGTTAAGTGCTGGATTTTATTGTGTATTATGCAATTACCTGATAAGATTCCACTGCATTTAGTTACCATGAATCCTTCTAACTCTGGTGTTTCTGACACTAGGATTTTGTCCTGTATTATGATGATGAGACATACACTTATGCATTGTTTCCTGCATGTATTTTCAGAATGATATTTAGTTTTTTTTTTCTCTTTTGTTTTTGGCATTTATGTTTTCTGTGGTGACCTGGTGTTGTAGGGATTCGGTAATGGATCTTTTGACAGGTCTTTAAGTTCAGGATCAGCTGAGTATCTTCCAGATTACTTATCTCTGAAAAACATAAAGTTCTACGAATGGTCATATGATGTATACCAGGTCCCCAGTGTGGTTTAAAGTTCACATTAAGAATAAAAATTTTTTTTTGACAGACATCCTATCATGGACATCAAAATGAAAATTGTACCCTATAGTTTCTCCCATCCAAAGTGGGGATTCTTACCTTCATGCTTGACAAGCAGACAGAAAGGACCTTTAAGGAATATACCTGAAAGCATAAGCCACATCATCTGATTCTGTAACAAATGTTTGATATTGCACTTGTAGCTGATATGTTCCTTTCAATTTCTAGTCCCTTGATTTTGTTAGACTTCTGTGATTTCATATTCTAATCCAGTGATTGAGGTTAGCTCTTTTTAACAGAGCCAGTGGAGTAGTTGTCTCCCACCTCTTCACCTAAGGATGGAAACAGATTCAGTTTCCAAAATGTTGTGTTCTTTGGCATTTTTAGAATACCAAATGTTGGAGAAAGTAAAAAAACCTGGTAGTTCTGAGAAGTCCAGCTTTACTTACAAGATATTGTGGCATATTTGCTCAAAACAAAAACTGGGAGCCAGAGCAACAGCCATTGCTAGGTAACAGTTTTGTAACATGCAACAATGGAGTAACTATTGCAAGTAGTGTTTTCGGCACGGTCAGTTCCAAGGCTATATAATGAAGATTAGCTGCCAGAGTCTTGAGATGCCAGTTAGAAGAATAGAAGGTTGGTGTGAGATAGCCACCAGCCAACAAGGACATGAGCCTGGAAGCAGGGAAACATCCACTGGTGAAGATATGACAGGCTAAGACTTAGTACATGATGTAGTGAACTGCAGAATATGTGAATTAGCAATAGCACTATAGTTACTTATAGTTATGATATGTCAGTGTTCGGTAAATTCATCAGTTCTGAAAAGTATATATGTTAAAACTGTAAACGTTTTTGACTGAAACCACTTGATTTAGTCTGTTGGTCACACTTCCCAGATCTACAAATTAAAAAAAATATATATTAGATGACTCTTCTTTTTGTTTCTATCATATCATTATAATTCCAACTTTACATAATGCTGAAAGCAAACTTTTATATCTGTGTGCTATAATATCTGTCTTTATTAGTTTTGTTGGCAGTTAAATTTGTGACTAAGGAATTTGATATGGTTTTGTAACAGTGCACTTACAGTACATCAGAATCAAGTTAATGAAATTGGCAAAGAATGCATTTGGAAAATGTATGTTCCCTTACCTTTTGATTCTTGTTATGTGTGATCTGCAGCTTTCATCCACACGAGCCGAGGACAAGTGGTACTTGCTGGGGATCCACTTCAGCTTGGACCTGTTATTTTGTCTCCTTTCGCTTCCCAGATGGGTCTAGCTGAATCATTCCTGTCTCGTCTGCTTCAACGCTTTCCATATCAACGAGATCCACAAGGGTTTTCCCATTCTGGAGGCTACAACCCTCGTCTCATAACAAAATTAGCCTTAAATTATCGTTCAGTTCCAGAGATTCTCACACTGCCAAGTTCATTGTTCTACAATTCATACCTCCAGCCTCAGGTACATGAAATGCAAGTGTTTGGTTGATTGTTGTATAACGTAATCTTTTTATAGCTAACATTATTTTAAGATGCAAAAGTGTGAAGCTAGTATAACCTCTGTACTCCACCCATTTTTATCATACTTTCTGTTTATAAGGAAAGAAAATATACTTTTGAGATGACTGCTGTCTTCTACCACTTCAACTTATGAACCATCTGACCAATTTTTATATTTGCTGTGGACCTTATGCTGTTAAAGGCGTGTGTACGTGGGGGGGGGGAGATAAGCACTGAATGATTTGAGCTAGGCATGTGACATTTTGTATGGAGTTAGATAATAAACATGCCTGCCAATTTGGTATTATTCATAAGTCAAGAATTTAAAGGCATGGCAAGTGTGCAAAGTCTTAATTAAGGTTTAAAAATCTTCCATTGCTTATCCTTAGTACTATATGGCCATTAAAAACAGTCCCATGATATGTCCTAAAAATTGACTCACAAAAATATTTTTATTACCCTTCTTTATGACCACTAGAGGGGGAGAGGTGGTGGTGGTTATGATGATGATGATGATGATGATGATTGCTGCTGCTGCTGGTCAGTAATATACACTCAACTCTCGATTATCTGGGGGCGGATAAACCAGTTTGCGGCTTAACCGGCACTACCAGGGCTTTTTTGAGGCTTATATGTTTTTTAGTATTCATTCACTTTTGTTTCACTTGTAACACTTATTTTCGCACTAGTGTGAACTGAGCTCTGCATTGTTTGGTTCCGTTATGCTAACACAGTGTTCTAGGGTAGGGGTGAAAAATGCAAGGATTTGTGGAAAGTTTCAAGGACAGATACACCGCCCCAGTTAGTCTCTTTGTATTGATCTTCAAGTGTGTTAGCAAAATGTCAGGGTGTAAAAGGAAGCGTGTTGTGTTAAGTATTCAACAGAAACTTTAAATTATCAATCAGTTGGGAAAAAGAGGTGTAGTTAAACAATTAGCAATGCAGTACGGCACTGTTCGTGATTTGAAAAAACAGAAGAATCAATTAATTTCCTTTGCTTCGTCTTCTAATTCAAGTGGAATGAAGAAGAGAAAAACCATGAAAAAATCAACATATGATGATCTTGACAAAGCAATGCTGATCTGGTTTAATCAACTAAGGGCACAGGGAACAACAATAACAGGAGCAGTTTGTGACTCGTGTGAGCCGGGCTTCAAAATGTTAAGCAGTGATGAAATCATAAGTTCAGTGGGGGTGCAGCCAGAAGAGCGGGAAGAAAGTGAGAATGAGGAAGCGGTGGACAGTGCTGCTAGTAAGAAAATCACATGGTGCTGCTCTTAATCATTTGGAATCCTTACTAGACTATCTTGAGAGTGAATAGAACAGTTTATTAAGTGACAAGCTGATATTACATAGGCTTCATACGGATATCCGTAAAAAGGAAAATGCCATGAAAAAGCAAACGACAGTATTAAATTTTTTTAAGTGTTAAGTGTGAATATTTGTAAAAAGTGTTGGATGTTGTTGAACACTGTGATTGAAATAACTAATTCATACTTCAGTGTAATGTAAAAAAAAGTATTAAATAGGCCATGAGATGACATAAAAATGAGGTTGAATAAATTTAAATACAGGTAGGCCTATAGTATTATGAAGGTACAGTATTACAGTATTACTTTTAATAAAATTTGTCTTAACCAGGTTTTCAATTAATCATGATTTCCATCCTCACCATTATCCCGGATAATCGAGAGTTGAGTGTACTTGTATTTGCAATTACTAGCAGTAAGAATTTACATCAAGCAGGATTCAGTCTGATCATTCCTGCATGACTCCAGCATGCTTGCTTGTTGCCTGCTTGATGCTGGTTTCTTGCTTCACTTACCCTGAAGATGGAAGTGACATGTTCCTCCAACACATCAGTTGACTAAATTGACTACACTGTGTTATATCACAGAAGATAGAACTCTGCTAAGTATGTTCTGGTTTTTGTTACTAAATTTGTTTCATTTTGTACTTCCTGAAATTTATCAAAGAGGGAGAATTTCTGTCATTCATGAAAAAGAATGGAGTCTGACTTAAAACTCAGTATGCTTGGAATACTTGAAATAATAATAATAAAAGTAAGTAAGAAAAACAGAAAGCTGAAAACATATGTTCTGCCAACTAACAGTGTAGTGTACTTACATAACACAGATTTCTGACTTGCAGTTTGAATAAAAAAGTACATGGGGTGTATATCTCTGTATGTCAAACAAGTGTCAGACATTGAAATAATCCAGAAACTTGTTCAAAATCAATGAAGATCTCACAGAAATAATTATAGATATAGAAGTTTGGAACTTAAATTCCACCAGGTGTCACGGTACTTATTTGTGTTTGCTATATCTCCTTTTTTTATACACTTGTGAAGTGAAAAGGTTGCACTCTGCCTTTATGAGCCCATTCCTTTGTGATTATGCAGGGTAGCCACATGTTCAGAGCATATAGTTCAAAGCCATAAGGAAATACCTGTCTAGTGCAATAATTAGGCAACCAATCAGAATAGTTTGTGTTCATATTTCATAGTTTAAAGAGTGTAAGTGGTTTAGATATCTTGAAGGGAATTTTATTACAGAAACTTTGTATACTTGAAGTTATTTAATTGCATAGTCATTTTGAGAAATATGGTATTACAATGAAATGTTGATACAAGAATGCACAGTATATAGTCATGAAGTAGCATATGGAAGGGAACTCATTTCATTAGCAGCATCGTGAATCAGTGCAAAAATACAGCGTTATCCCAGTGTAAAGAAAATACACTCACTGCAAACCCAGGGTAATGCAAATCATCTATTGATAATATTCCACTGCTGAAGCATTTTAGGTTTCTGTGACAAACAGACTCTTTGCTACAGTAAGAGTGGATAGAAACCAATACACTAGACAACAAATTGTGATTGCCAAGAATGCATTAAGCTTCTTTTGAGTTTTTTAAATGGAAATTCTTTCACCTTTTTCAAAACCAAAATTTTCCTGTCCCCACTTTTTCATATTCATCTCATCTGAGAACCAAACAATGTGACTGTTAGCCAACAAACTTCTTAATGGCCCAGGTTTCACAAACTGTTGGTCCAGAGGCTGATCTGCTGGCATCTTTGGCATCTGAGCTGCCAAAGCGTAGCACAGAAGATGGTGGTCCACCAGCACTGGTTTTCCATGGAGTCAGAGGAGAGAATTATCAGGAAGGGGAGAGTCCCTCATGGTACAACCCACAGGAGGTAGTGCAAAGTGTGTACTACCTTAACATGCTGTATGGTGTGGGGCTGGCTTACGGTGATGTGGGCATTATCACACCATACCAGAAACAGGTCAGTTTGGTATGAGAGACCAGCACAAGAATGTATACCATGATAAGTAATGATATTTGTTTTTATTTATTATTCATCAGTGCTGTGTGTAGCTCAGACTGTATATTGTGACATGCTGCTAAAGGCTGGACTATGGAGCATATTTCAGCATTCGTTGCTGGTCAACGGATAACATTTCCTAGGCAGCTGAAGAGAATGCAGCATTGGAATTCTAACAGTGAGATTCCATGGTTACAACGAATTGTTCAAAGCATTGTATGACAGTGGGAAACCCAAACTATTGAGAAAGGTGTTCCACAAGCGGTCCGCAAAAGGCCTATTTAAGAGTACTGAATGTACCAGATAGACAGTTGAGTTCTAGAGGTTGTCAAAAACAGTTCAGTTTTCATCTGATCTTAGAAGAGTAGTCATTCTTCAGTTTGGCTTTGACTGTAGCAGAAGCAGTAATTGTGATACTGAAAGTGATAATAATTGAACTCGCTGGTGTAAAAGTGAGCATTCAATAAACGCATTTGCCAAATCTGAGACCTGCATGAATTTATTTGTCGCGTTACATAGGCAACACACGACAATGTCATTGAATGGTAGAATAGATAGTGAATAATTAATTCAAAGGATGTGGAAGAAAGTAGTAATGGCCTAATTTGAGAGACTTGCTGTTATCCTAGCATTTGCTTGGATGGACTGAGGAAAACACTAAAGAAATCTTCATTAGGATGGCTGGTCTCTGCTCTGAGATTTAAACCTGAATTATCTGACTATGTAACACAAGTTACATCCAATGGACAATGACATTCAGTTACTCATGGTCTTGGTATCATCATCACTTAAGTTGTTTTAATTGTTGTTATTTTTAGAGTTATTATTATCCATTAGAAATGGGTTTAGATGATGAACATAGAATGTACAGTGATACTGTATGTATTTACATACTAGGTGGTTCAAATATGACCGGGACTGATCTTTTTCGTAAACAAGCCGCACTGCGCAGCAGCTGTGCGACCTTGAGAGATTGTAGCCACAACCTCCACTCTCCCTCCTGTTAGGGTTAGAACCTGTTCAGTGCTGTCTGGGAGTTGCTAGAGCGATGAGCGTACAGAAGGTACCACGGAGCGTGGAACAACGCATTGTGATCAAATTCCTCGGAGAAAATGTCCCATCCGCTGAAATTCACCACAGACTCCAACAACAGTATGGGGAAGAGTGTCTCTCATGGACCCGTGTGTTTGAGTGGTGTAAGTGCTTCAGAGAGGGCAGAGAGCGCATGGAGAATGAACCGCATGATCGTCGGCCGCGAACATCTGTCACCAAGCCAAACATTGATCGTGCAGATGCACTTAGTCGTGAGAATAGGCACATCACTATCAAGGAACTTGCAGCAATGCTGTCCATCAGTGTTGGTAGTGTAGAAGACATCATGAAATACCACCTGCACTATTGCAAGGTGAGTGCACGGTGGGTACCACGCACTTTGATGAACGTGAACAAGATGGTGCACATGCAAGCTGCCAGTTGTCTCCTACAGCAGTTTGAAGATGAAGGTGATGCATTTTTGAAGTCTATAGTGACCACCGATGAAATGTGGGTGCACTACTTCATTCCCGAGTCCCAGCAATCATCACACGAGTGGCGGCATACCAGTTCTCCCAAACCCAAGAGAGCACGGAGGAGCCATTCAGCAGGAAAAGTATAGGCAGCGTTCTTCTGGGACTGGCAGGGGGTTATCCATGTAGACTTTCTGACAGATGCCAGAACAGTCAATGCAGCTTATTACTCAGACCTC